ATTTGGTGTCAATTTCCCCAAGTGCGAATTTGGGTTCCCTTCTTGTTTGTGTTTTCGTGTTCTGTAGCTTAGAATTCTTTTCTTGATTAGTTAATTAGTTCTCTTACAAGATTAGTCTCTAATTAGAATATCAGATGGTGAGCATCGGTGACGAATCCGTACTACTTTACTTGATGATTTTGTATCTTTCTGAAGGTTAGTTGGTCTTTGTGGATTTAGGTTTAACATCATGTAGGTATACTGAATTCTATATTTGCTATATAATCTCTGTGTATGCTGCAATTGTTTTCACTTTTCTATTCATTTGAAGCCAAAGTTTTTCAAGTTTAGTTTGCATGTTCTGCTGTAGATCAGCCCTTCCCATTTCAAGTTTTAGTAGTTGATTGTATGCATGAATTTGATCGTTTTTTATTTTTTTCGTTTCCTTTAATTGTATCTGTGATTCTGGCCGGCTGAAGCTATATTGACTGATTGTAGGATCGGGTTTAAGTAACATCATTTTGCTTTAATGTAGCATGTTGAAGTTCCCATTCCCTCTCCTGGTAAAGGTGAGATGTTGCTCAAGTTGGAGGCTACGAGTTTGAATCCGGTTGATTGGAAAATACAGAAAGGAATGCTTCGACCTTTCCTGCCTGGAAAGTTTCCTTTTATTCCTAGTGAGTTGAACTACAGTCGTAGTTTTTACTTTTTCTCTCATCACAAGTATTTCTAGTTCCATACTTCTTATTTTCCTCTTATCGCTGGTATTTGTGGGGAGTGGTAAACTTTCTTATGGTCTACACGGGCTATGTTAGGGCTACTTTTGTTGTGAATTCAAATTTTGCTTATGGTCCTTGGGTGAAGTTGATTGTTGTTTTGAGTGTTTAGTACTTTTTGTGAGCCTGGTCTTGATGAAAATGAAGCATCACTTAGAAGTTGATAGTGGACATTGGTGCCTGAACTATCTCTGAAACTCTTGACTGAAAATGTCTCTGTTTTGATGTCAAATTTGCAGAGCTGAGGGTATAGCTTGGGATAAGTTGCTTAACTTGTTACTTTGTATGGAGCACTCCTGAATGTGTTTGCTTGACTTTCTTACATATTATACGCTGGCGCTTGTGTGCAAAATTCAGATTGTTATTTCCGTCACATTTAGTATGATAGTGGTATGTCCCATGTTTTTAATTTTCGACATGCGTAAATTGGCTTGTTGTCTGCAAAAGTGATAATAGGTTAACTGATTTCCTGACCAATGGTGTCAACTGTCAACATTATGTGTTATCATGCTAATGCAGAAAGAAATGATGTGATAATAGTGATGGTAATGACAACTGCTGAAATATGATTGAGTTGGTTTCCTGTTGAACATAATTTTCCACTCCAAAAATGGTGTTTTCTGAGATTATTTTATGTAATCTATCTGACAAATTTGTTTTGCCTCCTTTGGTTATGGGTGGCCTGTACAGCTACTGATGCCGCAGGAGAGGTTGTGGAAGTTGGACGTGGAGTGAAAGATTTCAAAGTTGGTGATAAAGTAGTGGCGTTTCTTGGTTTGGTAAGTGTTATTCTTATCACCTTATATTGTCATAACTGAAGGTGGATATATGTATGCATGAAATCAAGTTTTGTTTGAATTATTCAATGTGACATTATATTGTCATAACTGAAGCTGGATATATGTATGCACGAAATCAAGTTTTGTTCGAATTATTCAATAGTGTCTTTGGAGATGCTCTTTTTTTTTCTTTTGATTATGTTGGTGTGAGTCCTATTGTTCTCAAGTGATGACACAGCTGCTATAGTTCTAACCACCTAACCATTTTAATCAAACTGAATTCATTTCTTTCCAAATATCACCAGCTATTTTGATAAAAATGGCAGGGTGGTGGCGGGCTTGCCGAGTATGCTGTTGCTAAGGAGAGCTTAACTGCTGCAAGGCCACCTGAAGTATCAGCTGCTGATGGAGCATCTCTCCCTGTAGCTGCGCTTACTGCACTTCAAGCTCTTGCCCAGCCTGCTGGTGTGAAGGTTGATGGTAGCGGTCCACAGAAAAACATTCTTGTTACTGCTGCTTCTGGAGGCGTGGGTCATTATGCAGTTCAATTGGCTAAACTAGGAAATGCACATGTGACAGCAACTTGTGGAGCTCGGAACATTGATCTGGTGAAAAGCTTGGGGGCTGATGAGGTTATTGATTACAAGACAGCAGAAGGGGCTGCTCTTAAGAGTCCATCTGGTATAAAATACGATGCAGTGATTCATTGTACAACTGGTATTCCCTGGTCAACTTTCGAGCCCAATTTGAGTGCAAATGGCAAGGTCATAGATCTTACTCCACCACCAAGTTCCTTCTTGTCATATGCGTTTAAGAAGCTGACATTTGCGAAGAAGCTAATTGTGCCTTTGTTCCTGATTCCAAAACGTGAGAACCTGGAACTTGTTCTTAAGTTGGTTCAAGAAGGGAAGTTGAAAACTGTGATTGACTCGAGGCATCCTCTGAGCAAGGCTGAAGATGCTTGGGCAAGGAGTATTGATGGTCATGCTACTGGAAAGATCGTCGTGGAGCCGTAATATGTTTTCTAGCTGTTCTCATTTCTGTATGTTAAAGACTTAAAGTGAAGTTCTGGAGTTCAGAACAGAATTGTGCTCTTCTGGTGTACAAATGTCATAGGTTTTATCTTGTTTGTAGTGCATGATTGTCATGAATGCTTTTATTTTGTTTAATGAGGTGCGTATGAGTAGTATTTCCCGTCCCCAGTGCTGAAAAAGTAGGTAACAACTCCCATAGCCTGAATCTTTCAACAGTATGAAAAATTCTTTTCGCTTCCTCTGCGGGCTTTACTGTTAAATGATGCACTTTGCATCCCTTTGTCTCCAACTGTCGCCGTCTCATCATCAGTACCGTGAGTTCTATTCTCCAGGAAACCTTACGTTGTTCTGTCATTTCGGTCCCTAATGAAATTGATGAAATGTCTGCTAAGTGATTTTGGGGAAGGTTAAGGATAAGGCCGTGATTCACACTGGTTGGGTCCAATAACAGCAGATTCTGGCCCACGATAGTGTGGGCTATTACACTTTACATGCGGGCTTTAGTTCGGTGATTGAGGCTGTCGTGAATGATTGCCATTTGCCAATTGGTGATGTTGCCGATTAGAGGCGACCAGTTGTTGAACTCTAAGCTGGTCCTGTTGTGATCTGGAGGTTGGGATTGAGGTAAATACGCGGGATGAAGATGGGTATTTTGGTAAACTAATAAAGCACCGGCCGAATCTATTGGGAAGAATCAGAAAAACTGGAAGGAGTTTCTTCAGAATACTGGTATTCAGAAGAAATTCATAGATGATCTGGTAAAAGAGTTGAATTCATGGTCAACCTTTAAAACTTTGTTTGGGCATTTTTCTTTTTGTATGATTAACAAAAGTAAAGTTTTTCTTTTCTTTTCATTAATTAAAAATCTTAAATAATTAATAATACCACAACACACACCACTCATATGCTTGTAGCCCTTTTCCCGGAAATCAAAGGCCTCTCCACAATTACCAGTTATATCTATTTAAATTCGTTACGTGTTTAGAAAAAGTGGTGATGACTCTTTACTATTCAATTAAGTATCGTTTCTTTTGTTTTCTTTTCTTATTTTGAATTGTTGCAATTAATGATTTCATTGAATGACTCGAAAAAAATCTTGCATAGTGATAGGACTAGAGATCTCATTTGTAAATTCTCCTCACAACGGATTTTGTCACTTATGAAGCAATATATTTCATCTTACAAAAAAGAACAAGGAAAAAAAAGCAACGTCTCTATACTAATACTTTCCTTCGTATTCTTCTAGTCTTAATAATTACTCCCTCTGTCCCAAAATTATTGTCCAGTTTGAGATTTCACTTTAAATACAATTTGAACTAAAAATGAAAATCCAAACTGGACAATAATTATGGGACGGAGGGAGTACTACTTATCGTTTGAAAAATCTTTACTGACATCATGTATGCTATGGTAAATATACTTGTAAACAAAACACAGTTTATAAAACGAAAAAATCATGTATCCAAATCTAACAAGGAAAATGATATATATAGTGAATAAAAATAGTGACATAACATAGTGACTGATGTCAATTATTATTGACTCTTAGTTTTTTGTCATTTTTCTGTTAAAGTTTTTTTCTGTGAAATTATATTTTTACCTTTAATTAATAACTAAACATATTTGATAAGTGTAGTACATTTGTCTTTTCATTTGTCACTATCTAAATTCACTATAAAATTTTCAATATCTATATAATTGCTCTTTTAATAGGGAAAGATCAAAAGAAAAGGCAAAATCATTTGCATTTTTATTTATTTTTTTAAAGGCTAACCATGGGCTGGCAAAGATTATTACTAATAAAGAACAGCACGCTAAGGGCCCAATCAAAAATCTTAAAAAACGATAAAACATTGTTCACACAGTGAGGGGACCACACCGCGGTTTCCCCACCACCAAGACCAAGCATATATATATTCATTATTTTAATATACAGCCAATAAAATATTTTTAGCAATATTTTTAGTAATTATTTTAACAGGAAAAAAATTGAAAAAATAAAATAACAATATCCTGAAGCTTTTCCCACATACCTGTCCAATGGACGGGGAAGACATACACATTTAGACATTTTTACATAAATTTTGTATTTTTATAAAATATGTAATGACTTCAGTTTTAAACACGATTACCTCTGGATTTACAGGAATTTGTTTTTTTTAAATGACGTTTTATATTCACTGGTGATAAGGTTTATGCAGATCTCTCTAAAATTTGTTAGGATTTGATACTCTCTCCAATCAATATCTGTGTTAGAGTTTGGTTCGTGAAAATAAGGGTTTGGTTTTTATTATTTTGTTTTTTTAAAAAAATTATTTTAATTGCTTTTTTTTGTTTTATTATTTTGTTTTGTGTATTTTTAAATCTAACAAATTAAGAAAATGTCATATAAAATTAAACTCCATGCCTTTAGTTTTCTCTGTGGTATTTGGCTTAGTATAGTATATATAGATTTTCCCTGTAGCTCTTTCTTCTCCCTTCTCTTCCTTTTTTTTCCCTGTATTGAAAAAAGAATAATAAAAAAAAAAACTCTTTGGTTTCTTCTCCTTCGCTTCTTCTGCGGATTTTACTGTTATATGCCTTCATTGCAAGCATTCCTATTTTCTCTCTCTACTTCTTCTTCTTCTCCCACTTTCTCTCACTAAACTGTTGCCGTCGCTTCCTTCTTGCACTGTGAATTCCGATTATCTTCTCTTCATCACCATCGTATATTCTCTCATTCTCCGTGGATCTTTTTTTTTTTTTTTTTTTTTTATTTTCTGAGCCTCAAAGGTGAGTCATGTTTGTTTCGAATTTGTTCTGTTCTTTTTTTTTCTTTTTCTTTTTAGAGTATGATCATTGAAATTTGGGGCTTGAAAATTGTGTGTAATCTAGTATTCTAATCCAAATTTTTGTTATAGTGATTTTCAGCTGCATTATGTTCGCTGTTCTTCTGTATTTTTTTCTTTTTTTATGAGACACTGCTTTTTAGTTTTTACAAGAATTTTCTGTATGTGCTAGAGTCTTCCGTTTTTCTATCTGGCTTTCCCATTGTCGTTTTAGTTTTCTTCTTCAATTTTCTGAATTAATTTGTTCTTTGAAAGAGATTTTAAAATTCATACCTGTGAGTTGAATTGAACTGTATTGGTTTTTCTGCCGGTTCCGGTTTGGTCTTTGGATGTTTTCAGGAGTCCATTTATTGGAGTGCTCAATCTGACGATTTTCTCTGTTTGCTATTCGTAATTTTGTAGTGTCTAATTGGTTGTAGCATACGATTTTGAAATTTGAATTCTCAGAAACAGATAACTTTTTCCTCTTTTACCTCTTGTATATTCTGAATCTCTTTGTTGGTTTCTCCTTTCTTGATTCTTGAATCTCTGAACCATATGGTGGAATATATTTACTGGATTTTGGTATCATTTCAATCCTGCGTCGGAAAAGGATTGAGACAGGATTTGCTTTTGTTCTTTGTGTTTGGTTTATTTTAATGTGCGTTTGGGAAAGAATATTGGAAATTTTTCCCTAGTGTCTCTAAGAAGATTAGGTTTCCCTTGCAATGAAGGTCAGAACATCTTATTTCTTCCTGACCAAATTGGGAGCGAACTCTTTGCAGTTTATTTCTGTATTTTCTTTTAATTACCTGTCACGTAAGGCTCAAAAACTCAAATTTGAAGTGTCAGTAACTTCACCCTTTTTCCCTTTTTTTGGGTTGATTTTCTGCGCAACATAGCAAGCTTTCTGCTTTCTGCCAAATTAGTGTAATGGTATTTTGTTTTGTTGATTCTTATTGGATGTTTTTTTCTCTGCTTTTTGGCAGGACATTTGAGATCTTGTTGACTCGGTCTACCTTCCAGAAGTATTTGTGGGGGTATCCGGGAGAACTGTGGCTGCCTTTAGATGATAGCTTCCCGTTGCAGCTTGTAGAGGCTGCAGTCAAGCATGTTGATAATTCTCTGGTTGATCTTTAATCACTCGTACATTGAGAACTGGGTCTGTAGTGTGATATTCTACTATATGCAGTATATATACAGTAACATATGCCTACAAGCAAGCCAGAAACACTGTTGTGACAGTGTAGAAACCTCTTGTTCGCTGTTGCGAGTCAATTAAGCAGAAATTGCTTTCTAATTTCTTGTAAAGATAAATGGAAAGGTGAATCATCAGTCACATTTTATTTGGATGACTACAATTCTTGTTAATTACTTTTAGCTGATTGTTGCACGCTCTTGACAAATATAATTTCAGGTACAAAATTTTGGAAGAGCTTGGTGATGGAACTTGTGGAAGTGTATATAAGGCCATCAACAAGGAAACTTGGGAGATTGTAAGGAGACATATTTGTCTATCTATTTTAATCGTGGAAATTGCTTTTGTCTACAGCTAATTATTGTGGAATTTCGGTCTTGGATATGCAGGTTGCTGTCAAAAAGATGAAACGGAAGTTCTATGACTGGGGAGAGTGCATAAGTCTACGAGAAGTTAAGGCAAGTTATGCAGTTTTTAGATCTTTACCCCCTATTGGGTTAACAATTTTGATTCTCATATTTTGTATAGCTAACTGCTCGAGCTAACAAATTTGTTTTATCTGTGTAGTCTCTCCGTAAATTGAATCATCCAAAGATCATCAAGTTGAAGGAGATAGTTCGCGAAAATAATGAGCTGTTTTTTATATTTGAATTCATGGTATGATGACTTATTTTTATGCGCTATTTCTTTCGTTTGTACCATTTGTGTCCTTAAGTAATCTTATCTTAATGAAAAAACTCTCTCTGCACATGTGGTACTCGCTTTAAATATTAGTTACCATGCACCACCAAATATGACTTCCAATCTGGCATTTTAGAGTTATTCTTAAATTGATCTATTCAAATTCCACATTTAAGGTTGATTTCATCATGAGGTTTTTTGTCTCTATCTTCCAGAAAGAATAAACCAAGTGAATTCAATTCATTCCAAGCTTCCATTTTCTCATTTTATTAGGTTGGCTAGTTGTGTGTTTGGTCTATTTCTTGACCAGAAAATTGTTCAGTTTTGAATACTGGACAGGTTTATACTTCTTCGGAGCTTATTCCTTCTTGCCCCTTTAGCTATAAAGATTTAGCTATAAAGAGATGTGAACTGGTGTTGACAAAAATTTGTTTAACATTTTTAGGACTTAACTCTTCCTAGTGTCTGTTCTGTCTATATTGTTTGGTATTCTTGTGCTTTTTTTTATCCGGAACATATTTTTCTAGGTTTTTTATTTGTTTAATGTGTTCAGGAACACAACCTGTATCAAATAATGAGAGAAAGGCAAATGCCATTTTCAGAGGAAGAGATTCGAAACTTGATGCGTCAGGTGTTGCAAGGACTTAGTTATATGCATAGAAATGGATACTTCCATCGAGACTTAAAACCTGGTACTTATTCTTGAATACTTGTCTTGCTGCCTTTTTCCCCCTCCCTTGCAGCTGATTTAATCTGTTGGGGCCTCATGAGTGCAAAGTTAACTAATCCAAAATGTTTGTCTGCAGAAAATTTGTTGGTGACGGGGGATACCATAAAAATCGCTGACTTCGGATTGGCTAGAGAGGTGGCATCCCAGCCTCCATATACTGATTATGTCTCTACTCGATGGTGGGCAATTCTCCGCTCAGTCTGAATGCTATCCTTATTCATTTGGTCATGTAGCCTCATCGTGATGAGAACTTACATGTTTTGCTTAGGTACCGGGCGCCTGAAGTGTTGTTGCAATCTTCATTCTACACTCCTGCTATTGGTGAGTTACAACTTTGCAAACTTCATCCCACGCTTCTGAAGTATACTAAATGCTCAAAATTGCTCTTGTCGCCTCTTCAGCTTTTATGTAAAAGTGTTTCTAATGCATTTTATATTGGACTAGTTTGAGAAAATTTTATTGTCCCTGGATCCCCATTTTGATGAAGTTTGGAGTTATTGATTTAGTGAACTACATTTTATGCTACTTTGAGTGTTGTGCAGTTATCTAAGATTTTGATCTCTAATTTATGCTATCTGCTATAAAGTTTAGGCTGTTGTTATTTTTGTTGTACTTCATGTCTGGTTGTGTCAAGATTGAACTTGTTAGTTTTTCCTAATAGACCAAATAGGTTATGCTGCTTCTTCTGCCTTGTGATTTTGTTCATCGTCTAACAAGGACCAAACTACACAGATTTGTGGGCAATTGGTGCTATATTTGCAGAACTTTTCACTTCTGCTCCAATCTTCCCTGGTGAAAGGTGATTTTATAGCTTCTTTTAAGTTTTAACCTTACCTGAATTTATTGGATAATAAGTTTCATCATTACTGTATTGATTCTTATTTAGTTATAGTTTATCTTTCAACTAATTTACTTGAAAATTTGTAACTGATAAACTATTCTGGGAATTTCTGTTTGGTATGACCAGTGAAATAGATCAGCTATACAAGATCTGCTGTATTCTTGGTAGACCTGATTGGAGTGTCTTTCCTGAAGCAAGGAACATTTCGAATTTGGTTGAAATTAGTTATTTTGAGGTATATACTACTTGAACAACTTTAAATGTATTCTCATCATTCCTCCTCATCTTATCATGGTTGCATGCTAATTTTTTTTTCTCTTTCTTTTCTTTATTTCTTTTTGCTTTTCCATTTTTGGGTTTAGGTTATGCCAGTCAATCTTTCTGAGATTTTTCGCAATGCAAGTCCAAAAGCTGTGGACTTGATTAAGGTAGCTACTTGATCAATCTTTCTGAGTTTGGATCATTCCATCTATTTTTCTTGTATAATGTCCTTAGTGTTGAATGCCTCTGTTTATGCAGCAACTTCTTTCATGGGATCCAACAAAAAGGCCTACAGCAGATCAATGCTTACAACATCCATTTTTTCATGTATGTCTTTTAGTCATTATAGTAGTGCGTTACCTTTAAGACATGACGGTTTCCTAACATGGATACTGTACAGGTTGATCTGTGGATACCTCATTCACCTGCAGATCCGCTTCAGCTAACTCTAAGCAACTTTGGTTAGTATACGGGTTCCTTCTTGATATCTTCAGGATACTTTTTTTTTTGTGTGTGTGTTCTTTTTTGAAATGAATTCTGTTTCCTTCAGGTTCAAGTCCAAATCTTGAATTGAACCTCTGGGACTTTGGCTCTCAAAATGATGATTGTTTTCTTGGATTGAGTTTGGCTGTGAACCCCAGTGTTTCAAGCTTTGGTAAGGCTTTCATAATTATGATAGTCACATTCTTTTTAATTGGAAGTTTGCATCTATTGTGATCTTTAACAGTTTGGTACCTACTAGTTGTGATAGACTTCTTTTAGGATATTTGCCCTTTAATTTGAATTATGATAAACAATAACAGATCTTGGTTTCGTTACATAGAATCATCTATTGTTGTTTCTTATTTGTTTATTTAGCCAGATGATCATTGCAGAATTCTAATTCTCTCTTCTGCTGTAACCATATATGCATAGAAGCTGGAAATTTAAATGTTAATTTTGTTTGAACTTGAGTTTTCTTTTCCATTTTACCTTTTCTGTTTTATCGCCTTTATTTTTCTATGCTAGTTTTGTTTCTAGCCTTTTGGGGGCTACCTTTTGCCTGGACCTGCACAAGGGAGCTTCAGTGGAACTGGACTCGCCTTTTTCTTCAATGGATCTTTTCAAATGATATTGTATTTGATATTTGTGCAGATTTATTTCCTGGAGAATTGGTGCATAAGACTCAATGCGAAAAGGAGGTGAGTATAGTAGGTACTCTTAAGTTTCATACAAGATACCTGTGATGTCTACTGATGATAACGCAAGACATGATGACCTGCAGGATATGCTGGTTTACCCAGGTTGTCAAGATGACTCCAAGAAATCAGGTACATGACACATTTCTGGTTCTACTGAAATTGTATTTTTTTAAGTAAAAGAACGAGGATATATAGGAAGAATTGTTATTCTGGTCTTTTTTCATTTGAAGAATTGTGCCAATCAAATGCCTCCTTCTCCGCCTCAGTTTTTTGGTCCCTCCTACCTCATGAAGACCACAGAATCTCGACACCTGTGGAGTCTTCCTTATCATTATCATTCAGGTTGCTTATGAGCTCAAATAGAATGAATAAGTTTTGCTTTCAGCTGCATCTTTGTCTCCAGTTCATATTTGAATGTATTCGTTACTTTGTTTAATGTGTTTCCTCCTGTATGCAGTACACTCTCGAATCCATCAAATGGAGTTCCACAGTCAACTGGATTTGCCATTGCATCATTGCAATCTAACATTCTAGATCGCCCATTGCTTGCCATGTCCTCCCCTTTTCAACAGGGACGTTGCCCTTGAATGATGGAGCGCATCCGTTGCTGATTGAATAAGAGACGGATTTTAGTTATTAGCTGTAGCTGTTACATTCTGATATTCATACTTCATAGTACAAATTGCATATATAGGAAGTTGAACTTGGCTATGTGCTACTAGGAAGACTTTCTAACCCGTATCTTTGAGGATACTGTTGGAAAAGACATTCTTATAATCATGTAGATACTTATATTGAAACAGCTAATAACTAAAGTTGTGCCAATAAGAATTGTTCTTTCTGATCGTTTCAAAACCTGAGTTTGAGCAACTTCCGGAAGAGTAAATCGTTTTTCATAACCAGGTTGTTTTTTTTTTTTTTTAATACTGCATATTGCGTTGGTATAACTGCATTCAGTTCAATTGGGCCCGAAGTCTTTTTTCTTTCCCACCACTACTAAAGCCTGTATGAAGTTAATTTACCATATACGTGAGCATTTGTTTGGGCTCCTGGGAATAGCCATGGCCGATGTATAATCTAACACCTCTCAAATTTCAAATAGAGATTACCATGATCTCTATAACCAGGCGCAAAATCAATGAAATTTAATTGCTATTGTTAAAATTAACTTAAACGGAAGACAATTGTTACACATGCCAATTTGGCAAGTTTGACCCCCCACTGTATGGAGACAGTAATACAGTACTACCATTTTTACTATAAAAAGTGAGCATAAGCTTGCAACATAGACATCACAATTTTGATAATTTAGTGATGGCTAAAATGAGCTCGTCTTTTTGGCATTCTCTTACACTGTTTGCCATCTGTGTTTGCACCTTGGGAGGGTCTATATCAGTTGCAAATGAGGAGAGGAAGGTAATCTGAATTCATTTGTCCATCTTTTGTATGAATAAATAAAAAACACATACATAAATTTTTACGATTTATAAATTTTAAATCATCTACTAATTTTACAAACTTTTTTCCCTCTTAACAATAGGTTTATATAGTTTATATGGGAGCCCTACCTTCAAATCCAAATTATTCACCTGAGACACACCATTTGAGCTTGCTTCAACAAGTGACTGGTAGCAGGTAGATTAGCCCAATTTAATTATGTTTTATTAACTCTTTTTAATTTTATTTTATGAACCACATATATTGACCCATGTCCTTCTCTTCTGAAGCTTTAATAGGGAATCTCTTATCAGAAGCTACACTCGGAGTTTGAATGGATTCGCTGCTCGTCTAACAGAAAAAGAAGCTGCAAAATTATCACGTCAGTTTCATAAATTAATTTTTCGTACGAATTTTTTATTTCATATATGCATGTCATAAAGATTTGTCATTAGAAAATTACATGGAGCAACATTAATTACCATAGAGCTACAGACCGTCATAATTGTGTATTAGTGTAAGAGTCCTTCCGCTGTTTTCAAGATTAGTAAAAAAAATGATATATTGTGAGTTATTGTCGTTGATTAGATTAATTTTTACACGGTTGATACTATTAATTTATATAACTGAATTTTGGAGATCTTGTGTTCTTCGTTTTTGGAAGATATTTATTAGTATTTGGATTGATATGTTGATTTTTCAATTTAATTACACTAATCACATTTGAGCAGTTTTAAGAATAAAATTTCAGTAGTTTTGTAAGCATATAAATGAAGGATGAATTTGAACAATTTGGATTTAATATCTAATTAATGCCTATATTAAATAGAATTTCTGTATCTGAAAACTTTGCTTTTATTTTTTGCATAATTATAAAACGCATAACAATTTAATTAATTTACAAAGAGTTTAACTTTGGTAGAAAAATATTTGCTTAGAAGCTCTCAGGGCTCCTTATGGTAGCTACTTTAATCAGGTAAAAGTAGATTATTACTGAAGATACCATAAATTTGTTTGATTATATACCAGCTGATTATTACAGGTGATGAAGCTGTGGTATCAATATTCCCAAATAAAATTTTTCATATCCGTACAACGAGGTCATGGGATTTCATTGGTTTTCCTCAAAATGTACAACGCAATCTTAACGGTGAGGGTGAAGTTATCATAGGAATTCTTGATACTGGAATCTGGCCAGAAAACCCAAGTTTTAAGGATGATGGTTTTGGCCCTATACCTAAGAAATGGAAGGGTGAATGTAAAGGTGGACCTAATTTCACTTGTAACAAGTAAGTCTTTATATCATTTTACATTTATTTATCATACTGATTACAACATGTATGTTAAGGATCCATATGACAGTACAGAGTCAAATGTATATATATATATATTTTTGGTAACGCCGGGAACCCATCAGAGATGGTAAACCCACGCCCACTGCAATAGTCTGCAAATCACACTGTTAGTGAGTCAAATATATATATTAACACATAGGTTATATTAATCTCCCAACAGGAAGATCATCGGAGCAAGAACCTATCCAGAGGAATCATGTAGAGATACAGAAGGCCATGGATCACACACTGCCTCAACAGCAGCAGGAAACGTTGTCAAAAATACAAGTTTTTATGGAATTGCTGGAGGAGTTGCTAGAGGAGGGGCTCCTTCAGCTAGGATTGCAGCATATAAAGTTTGCAGTGAAATTGGTTGTTCTGAAATGGACATAATGGCCGCATTTGACGATGCAATCGCTGACGGGGTCGACATTCTGTCGCTCTCTCTTGGACCAGATTATCCTCTAAGTCTTGACATTGACGGGGTGGCGATCGGTGGTTTTCACGCAGCGGAGAAAGGTATCCTCACTTTACAAGCAGCCGGAAACGGTGGCCCTGAACCAGGCCAAACTCCGAGCGTTGCGCCGTGGTTGTTTGGTGTGGCTGCAAGTACTACTGATCGCAAAATCTTTACAAAAGTTGTGCTTGGAAATGGAAAGATTTTGGAGGTAAAATAACCATACTGACAAAAGATTTTCCGTAACACTTTTAAAACAGTTCATTCATTCACTATCTAAAACAAGTTTTATGATTGATTTTTTTTTTTTTTTGGCAGGGTTATTCTGTCAATTCTTTTAAGCTGAATGGAACCCAATTTCCAGTTGTATATGGTGCTGTTGCACCTGGATGTGAAGTTGAATCGGCCAGGTATATATTTCAACTTATGGTATTTGATTTTTTAAATATTTCTCTCAATGATTGAATATAGTAGAAAGATAAATAAAATAATTTTCTCTATTTTTATTCGTTTCTTTTATTTGTAATTTAGGTCCTGCCAGAAAAATTGTTTAGATCCTAAGTTGGTGAAGGGGAAGATTATACTTTGTGATGATCCTTTTGCTGATCATTATGCTTATGAAGTTGGAGCTATTGGATTTATATCCCCAGGACGTACATTAAATGTCTCAAGTGTTTCTCCATATGCTTCAGTAATCCTAGACAGCCAAGTGTTTGATTTGGCAACGAGCTATTACAAATCAACTAAGTAACCACTCCTTGTATTGTGTTTAGTTCATTTTTTTTCCGTCCAAAAAAAAAAACATTAATTTGAAATGGAAGTAGCTAATTATATATTTATTGCATATTACCATTTAGGAACCCTACAATGAACATATTGAAAAGTGGAGAAGTGAAAAATTTGGATACTCCTATAGTGGCTACATTTTCTTCAAGAGGGCCTAATGCAATAATTCCAGATATTTTGAAGGTACAAGAAAATAATATTCAATTAATTTAATGACCCGTGTTTTGTTACATTCTATAAGAGTTCAAAGATTTTGATTTATTCTTGTGTTCGTACAGCCAGATATAATTGCTCCGGGAGTTGAAATCTTAGCTGCATTTTCACTTGAAACTCCTCCTTCAGACCCAAATGATTCTGACATCGACAAAAGGCGTGTATCTTACAGTATATTGTCAGGAACTTCTATGTCTTGTCCTCATGTTACTGGTGCAGCTGCTTATGTAAAATCGATGCATCTCGATTGGTCTGCTTCTGCTATAAAATCTGCTTTGATGACTACAGGTAATTAATAATAATTATTGGCGAAGTATATATGTAAATTTTTATATAATTTGCCAAAACAAAAATTCGAAAAAAAAAAACCAATGTTGTGGTACAATTCGTTTCTTAATTACCATAGAACTGAAAGAGAACTAATGGAAGTTTGTTCACTTTTGCTTTTGTAGCTGATGCTTCTCGCATGAAAATATCTGTATCGAAGTATGGAGACAATGAGTTCTCTTATGGAGCAGGGCATCTTAACCCAATAAAAGCTGCAAATCCAGGGATTGTGTACGAAACAACTAAAGAAGAATACCACAAATTGTTGTGCAGCATGAACCTCGGCTCTGGCTTTAATATTTCCTGTAATGATTACAAGCCAGGTTCATTTGAAGCAAAGGATCTGAATTACCCTTCAATGGCTGCTACAATTGAATCCAACAATGTCGGGAAATTCAAGTTCGAATTCAAGAGGAGGGCTAAAAATGTTGGTGCAGCGAAATCGATATACCAGGCTAAAACCAACTGTTATCAGTCAGGGTGCAAAGTGACTGTCGTGCCGAAAAGGCTCGAGTTTAAGGCTCTAAATGAAGAGATACCCTTTGTGATTACAATTAGTGGAGAAAATATAGAACGTGTTTTATCTGCTTCACTTGAATGGAATGATGGCATTCATGTTGCCAGAAGCCCAATTGTAGTTTACAAACCTCAAATAGTGTCATCTTGAGGATCAGATTCTCAATCTAGGAACTTAGACAGAGAATGTACCCATTAAATATATATCATATATTTGTGTGATCCAAAGAGTTTAATCTCATAACTTACTGTTTAAATTTCAGAATTCAATCTTGGGTGATGTTGCTACTTCAGCCATATATAGTAACGTAGCAAAGACTAATGGGGATCAGATAATTACAGATTATTTGTGTAATAGTTGATGAGAGTTGTTTTATGTATATTTTGTTTGATTTGTAGGAAATATACATAAAACAACTTACAATCTCACAATCATGAAGCTGGAAATGTTACTCAAGCACGATCAACCAACAAACAAAAACTCCGTACTACTAATGTTTTAACCAGGAAATGTCACTCGAGCATGACCCAACAAACTAATATTACTAATTAATGTTCACATCATTAGCCAAAACCTGGAGGCCAGAAAAAAAAAAAAGGAAAAAAAGTTGCAGATTACAAAAACAACAACAAAAAAACACAAAACAAAAACACAAATTGCACATCATCACACTTTGACAATTTGTCTCAGCTCCTTCACCAAATCATCTATGAATTTCTTCTGGATATCAGAATTCTGAAGAAACTCCTTCCATTTTGAATGATTAGTCCGAATGGATTGGGCTGGTTCTTTGTCAATGTCCTTCATCACATTTTCAACACCCTTCTTTATGTCGTCTTTGTCAAAATACCCATCTTCATCTCGCCTATTAACCTCCACCCCAGCTTTCAGATCACAACAAACCAGCTTAGAGTTCAGTAACTGATCCCCTCTAATGGGCAACAACACCAACTGGCAATCATTCACGATGGCCTCAATCACCGAGCTAAAGCCTGCATGGAAAACGTAACAGCCCACACTCTCGTGGGCCAGAATCTGCTGTTGTTGGACCCAACCAGTGTGAATCACGGCCTTATCCTTCACCTTCTCCAAAAACCCATCCGGAAGGACTCTGTTTAGCTCTTCCGATACGTTCACGTTGGCCGGAAAATTCAAGACGACGAAGAAAGGAAGACCGGTGAGATCCAACCCAAGAAGCAGTTCCTTCATCTGGGCATCACTCAGAAACGTTTCACTCCCGAATGAACAGTATATGACAGATTTGGGCTCGAATTTCGCCAGCCAATTAGCCCATTTCTCCTCCAGAGGCTCGGGCCGGGGATCCGGAACTCCAGGACCCACTAGAAGAACCGGCTTGTTGAACTGTTTCTTTACGAAGTCAACATATGGGCCTTCCATTTCATTACACGTCTTCGCAAGGATGACGTCACAGCCCGTCAGTCCCCTGAGGACACGGTCGTACACGGTGGCGCCGCCATGGAAGCTCTTGTACAAATACAGAAAATCTCGAGCTTCGAAAGTTTTCACCGAAGTGATGGAGGTATTGGGGAATCCAGGCGGAGGTTTTAACAATTCTTCGAGGGTCGGATACCTTTTGGGTGATTCGTCGGGAATCCTCGCCGGAGAGGTGAGGTAAGCGGTGGACAGAGCAACGAAAACAGAGTAAAACACCGTTTTGATGCCCAATTCAGAAGCTAAAGGAGGGAGCCATTCTTGAGCAAAATCGAAAACCACGAAATGGGGTTTGAGCTCTGATAAGATTGCCTTGATCTGGGGCTGCATGAGGTCAAGAGCCACCTTAAGGAGCTCCGCCTGAGAAGGGGAAAGATCTGCGGTGCTTTCGAGTCCCGGGGGAAGACCCTCCACCGGCGGGAGAGTCAGAGGGATGATTTGGGTGGTGGGATTTGGATTAAGCATCGATTCGATGCGGTTGACGTTACCGGAAGCTGAGAAGAAAGAGATTTTAACACCATGAGAGGAGAGTTTCTTGGTTAATTGGACAAATGGGCTGATGTGACCAAAGGCGAAAAATGGGAACATAACAACATGAATATCACCGCCGGAGAATTCCCTGGATGAATGTTCTTCCCCCATATTTTTTTGTTTTTTTTCTGCGACGATTTTGAGTGGTAGGAAGAAGCCTGAAACTGGTGATTTGTAGAAGATTGATGAAACGGGAGGCGGGTTTAAATAGTGCTGAATGAATGCATCATGCATGCGTTTGGGTTTTTATCTGGTTTTTGGTGAAAACGTTTGTTTAGCTGCTGTAGAAGAGGCAGATTAACTCTCTCCGTTTTGAACTGATGATACGCACCCGTCTCCAATTTGGGTTTTTACTTCTTTCTAATAGTACAAAATGTACTTTTTATGTGTCAAAATTATTGTTCAGTTTGAATTTTTAGTTTTAGTTGAATTTTTATTGTAAATGAAAAATTAAATTAGACAATAATTTCAACATATTCAAATATTAAAAATTAAAATTAAATAATTATTTTCAAACAATGAAAATAAAAAATAATAATTTAACACCGAATGAGGCAAATGTCCATAACAAATCAACACGTATGAATTGGGATTGGGAGTGAGAGTACCGATACAAACATATTCCAAATTTCCAACCACCATTTGATTCCACTTAATTTTTATGTTTCATTAATGTCAAAGTGGATCTCATTTTAGTTTTTTATTTAGTGCACGGTTTTTTTTTTTTTTTTTTTTTTGGTTTCATTTTAGTTCATTAAGCTTTTTTTCTTTTTAAGCATATTCCTTCCCCTCAGGCTCTCCCTCCAAATTTAGATACTCTCTCCGTCCCATAATTATTGTTCAATTTGAGTTTTCATTTATAATTTAATTTGTACTAAAAATGAATATATAAACCGAGCAATAATTTTGAGATGAAGGAAATAATACATTAGTTAGAGGCTGGGTCTCCCTCACGCTCTCCTTCCAAATTCAAATACTGGTGTTTCGCGTCTTTTTCTTTTGTCCATTAATGGCAAAACTAAATCCAACCGGGAGACAATGGTTCGATCGAGAAAATAACTGTACAACGGGCTGGCTCGTACAATTGAGAGGAGAATATTAATTCTACAAGAGTCAAAGAAACATACAGTAGATGAAATCCAACAAATATTAATTTATTTTTTGATTGGTAATTTGAACTATAAAATGTATGTAATTGAAGATTTTTTCGATTAGGTCAGTCTTATTCTATGTTGACAAATATATAACTAAAGTATTTTTCTTGATATAGTCGATTCCATTTGCTTTCTGTACGATGATGGGTAACTGCATACGATGGGATCATTCGGAGCATGATTGAGCTAATGTTGCAAGATTGGGAAGTACAACTGAGTTATATATGAGGGGAAGCGAATTTTGCAGCAGATTAATTATTTGGCAGGAGTGTTTTTGCCGCTATTACTTAGATCCTTTGCCGCAACAACTTGATCATTTTACCTTTCACATTTCATCATTGCAAGCAATTTTCAAACAAAAATTCTCTCAATTCTTTAATTTTAGAATCTCATTTTTAAAGCAAATTGAAGACGAACTCGATGGCGGGACATAGATCTCGAACCGGGAAAGAACCAATTGAGATCCAAGAACTTCTGAATAGGAAAAGAAAAAAATTATGTCCACTGACCGGCGGTAAAATCCGGTCTAACCCGGGGCTTGCGGCTCCAAAATACATGTGTTCCAAAATCATAACAAAACAAATGAGTTTTTTTTTTTTTTTTTACTTGTCACGGTTTTGGAGCTTTGCTCCGATTAATCCGTCGGTCGACCCGGCCGGATCGTATACCCGGATCGTTAGGGTCTGGTCACGTCTTTTCTCTTTCAAACAAAAAAAAAAAAAGGAAAGAAAACTTTGGTGTATTAAGCTGATTTTGCATGAGTGCTTCGTACCTATCCATCCATTTACTTAAGGACTAGCGTTTTATCATACACAAACTAATAGAAGTAGCCAAAACTTGTCTGATCGTCTCAGAAACACAAAAACAACCACCCGTATTCCACTTATTATTTAAAACGTCATGTCAATAGAAACTGAGATCCAAGTAGCTGAAAAATAATAAATTATTAATTTTTATATCTCAAAATAATTGTCTAATTTTGAATTTTATTTTATTTTTTCGAATATCCGCGCTAGAATGGAGTGAATATTTGACATTTGATTTTTTTTTTGTGCACGAACCAACCCAACGTTCCTAACCGCCACTCTGTCTGTATCGCAATTGTGTGATGTGCATTGGACTTGTCGGTCAAGCAAGGCACCATCTTCGCGACCCAACCGTCAAACAAACCAAGCAATTATTGATTCTGAAATCGGTCAGATGGGAAATGGATGTACCCTTTTTGATGAATGCATCGTCGCTACTCATAATTTGGAATTTCTTTTACTATTCTCTTTGTCCTTTTTTTTTTTTTGTTAAATTGAAAATGAAATGAAGATTACTATACAAGTATTCATATACCTCTCATTCTTTCTTTTTTTTTAACACATATAATATAATGTTCACTGTCAGAAATAATGACTAATTACAGAATCAAAGACTTTTTTTATAAATGAATTATTTAACCAAAAGATTTAAAGTTGTTCAATATTTATGATATTCGACCTATGATTAAGGAAACGAACGAACCTTCCCGTTCCAATCTTTTGTTTTCAAAACCAAAGATTCTAAAAATATATGAAGATGGAGAGACACATAAAATAGCCTAATGGCTAACTTTGGGCCAAATACTCGCAGAAAATTGGGCCTCATGCTTCATGTTTGTGTTTGTGGGCAGGAGATGATGAAAGGCCACAAAGGCAGGTTCGCTGTTCGCCCTGCTTTTGCTTTAGGTTTTAGATCTTTGTTTTGGACGCATCATCATGAATCGTACAGGTAAGAGAAAAAGATGGTAATACTAAATGTGAATTCATTATTAGTTTTAAGAACGAGATAAATTTTTAATTTTTGAGATATACTACATATTTTGTCCAAAATCATTATTTTGAGTAATCTGAAATTCTAGGTAGATTTCTTTCTGGGAGTCCACATCAAGCTGATAGCCTGATACTATGTACTTTTCATTATTTATTTCAGAGGGATCAGAAGCTGGCTGGCCTTGAAGAAAAGGCCTGATAATGTGGATTTTAAGACCCAGTAACACATAGAGGAGTTGTAAACAGCATAGGATAAAGTATACTACCAAACCTTGAACCTACAGACCACAATCATTTTGGGTCCAAAGGTGGCACACTGGGCTTGGAAAGTTCTTAGCCTCTCCATTTCTTAATAATACTGGAGCGATATTTGTATTGGACAATTTGATGTGGTTTTAGCAAGAATGATTCACCTAGACAATTTTAAAATTTTAGTTCATTTATGAATCATATTTTAGCAAATATTTTGGTACGCCATTGATATGCATGTAATTGTAACCAAGTACTCCATTGACGTTTACTTATCATACTGTGAGTGAGTGTTTTTTTTCTGTAATACTTTTGACAAAAATAAATTGTAAGATTTGATAGTAGTTGATAAAGATGCGTGTTAAAAATGTTTGGACCAAAAGGCCAAAGCATTTAACCACGAAACTTTTGAGAATCATGACTAGGCCCTGACGGCTAAAAGAAATTAATTCTACGACCTTCTCTTTCTCCATAATATTCTTCTGAAAATCGAAAAGTATTTTACTAGATTATTATCAGTATATATCTCATGATTAATACAAGTGATCAGATCATCTTTATTACGGGTTATTTGCTTCTTGTGTTTATTATAATTAAGCAAAATGCCTTCATCAGTTTTATGTAATTAAAACTCTTGCAAAATTCAAATTAAGAAATTTCGAGTTTCGTTTTACATAATTTTTCACAATGTACCGAAAATTTCAGTGAAAGCACAAGTTATAGATATGCTTGGATGAATTATTTATTATATATATGCGTTTGTATACCATGTTTTCCCCATTTTGAAAAGTATAAATTAACACTCTATATCAATTAACTTATTTATTATTCAAACCATCATAATCTGGGTTTATTAACTCGCTCACAAGTGGCAACGATGCGTGTTACTTAAGGAATATTCCCTCCGTCCCATAATTATTGTCCTGTTTGAGTTTTTATTTTTAGTTTAAATTGTACTAAAAGTGAAAAACCAAACTGGACAATAATTATGGGACGAAGAGAGTATATAATATGGATAAGCGGGATGAAGCTTATAGCAACTTTTGTTTCTCATAGTTTTTTTTTTTTAAAAAAAAAAAAAAAAACTGTTTCTCATAACACTATTCTATATATTCCAGTTTTTTGAACACCTTAGTGGTACAGAGGAACGTATAATAAATTAAGGTGGTGACGATCATTAGAGATTTTGGTGGTAACTCATTTTTTTTTAAAGGCTAAATATCAACTTTATAGAAATGTTAGTGTCAACCCGCACCGGGAGATACCCAATTCAAAAGTGACGCGGAAGACAAAAAATTTCCCGAACAAAACTATACAATATGAGACATTGCAAATAATCTGAAGAACTGATTCTATATTTCTGCTTGAGTATTCGAAATCCTACTGGTCTATCACAATATAGGTGAATTGGTTGACTAGCACACAGTAATCACGAGTTATTTATAAAAACATGAGTAGTGTGGTATAGTTGAAATATAATATTGTTATGAATATCAAATATAATATTTCTTAGTGAGTATGTCCCCGATCTCGCTAATAATATGCAAAAGTATGCGAATTACTTTACAAATGAATCGCAAGACACCTAAAATCCTAGCTCCAATGTAGAGAGGATGGTGTACAAACTTGGATGATATCATTTTTTTTTTGGAATTATACTTAGTCATGTCTAATTTGCATATGGGGACACAGTCATGTTCTGGTAGCAAGACGTTTTACTTTTAATTGCAAAGATTAAGAATTTTATTCCTACCGCAAACGTGAAAAATATGCAACTAAAGAAGGAAACATGTAATTGATGTTTAGAAAACTAGTTGTCGAAGTCGAATTTGCACCGTGTTTAGGGTGGGTGGCCACGATGATCTAGACCACAATGGATGATTGAAAGTCTGCAAGATTGAATCTTAATGGTCTCCTGTTGATAAACTCTTCGATGCTTAAGTCAATAAAAGGATAAGAAAGATTGGATAGAGAAAGGTAGTTGTGTATTATATATGTGAGATTATGTATAAGAGACACTACCTCTTTATATAGGAGGGTGATTTAACTTCCAAGTAACCCGGTCCTAACCCATTAGGGTTAGAGATTACATTCGGCCTCTTCAAGTGTCCCTAACAAGTCGTATTTTTAAAACTTGGTGACAGAGATATAGATTGCTAAAAGCATAAGGGTGGAGTGTTGATAACTTATCAAGTCTCGCGATGTTGTTCCAGTTCTCAAATATTATCATTCTTGGACCTGCGTTTGTAAGAAGAGCAAAGGAAGATTGATAAATAGAGGTCCTTGGAAGGACGAGGTCGACAATGACGGGTCATTAAAAGACAAAGGTTGATAAGTATTGGACCTTGAAAGGACAAAGTTCGACAATGGAGGATCTTTCTAATGGACAGTCTCCAGGAGGACAAAGGTCTGTGAAAAGACAGTTTCTGAAAGAGAGAAAGACTGGCCATCGGATGGATGAATAATTACTGGAAGGGTTCTTGAAGAGACAATGGTCGACAGAAAAAGGTCCATCGGAGGAATAAGGTCAATAGGTGACGGTCTTTCCAAATAACGAGGTGTATGAGAGCATAAGGTCCAAGTAGTGGCCAACATCGGGACTGTTAGATTTTGGAGGGATGTGCCCGAGTAAGTTGGTTTACGGATCCTGCAATTATACCCGAGAAGGATATTTACAGTATAATAATAATTGAAAGGAGGAGCTTAAGTTGTCTCCAAACATAATTATCAATAAATGTTACTTGTATTAAAAATCTTAAAGATATTAAGACTCCTTGATTGTACAAAATATAAATCGAGAAGGTGAATTAGGTTATCTCGTTCTTAGGGAAAGTCATCCGAGAATATATGTTTTACCTTTTATCCGAGATAGTTATGCCCCAAGAATAAGTGATAGTACATTTTCTCAAACCTCTTGGGTAATAGTATGTATGGACTTGGTGACAAACATGTTGATTGCCGTTGCAGTAAGAAATTTGAGAGTTAATTTACAAAATTATTAAATTATAAGGGATAAAAATATAATAATTTACAATTTTAAGGGCCAATATGAGACATATCAAATTTGGTGAAGCTTTGTGCGGCTGAATTCTGTCTTCTTGGCGGAATTTATTGGAAGTTGGAAACTATCTTTTCTTGGATTTGTTCCAAAATTTAAGTAGAAAATTCTTTCTGTCAGCTATTACATCGGGAGGTTGAAGTCCGCAAGAAAGTCGACAGATTTTTCGCCAGCCTTATTGTCGCCTGGAAGAACTCGATGCAAAAGCCGACGTTTGACTTGTCGACCTAAGAGTCAATTGGACAGAGTTGGTGTCTAGGTCGACGTGTATCAGTTTTATGAATTTTCTAAATTCTCGATCGTAAAACACCAATAAATTTCATTTTTTTTCTAAGAAATTTATTTGGATGTGAAGACCAGACAAATTGATCCACACAGTCGGCGCTATTTGTCAAAGTCCAAATCTGAATGGTGCTTAGCACGGGTGGCGATAGTAACCTAGGCAACAACGGATGGCCTAAAATTTGCTAAACAAGACCTCGGTGATTTCTCGAGAGTATACTCTTGATGATTAACTCAATAAGAAAATAAGAGAGATATAATAGAGATAGATAGCGCGTACCATGTACATGAGATTGTGTATTATAAGGGAGAGACACCACCTCTTTATAAAGATGGGATGACTTAACTCTCAAGTAACCCGGTCCTAGCCCACATTAGGGTTAGGGTTTGTTTTCGGCCTCTTCACTGGTCAAGTAAATATGTAGCATGCACATGCCAACCTTAGAAGATGGGATAATTTGATCAAGTGGCGCATTCAAGTTTCTATAGCATTATTCCTTTTAATTTCTAGTACGTGTAACTCCATTGTAATAGTTTAGATATCTCACAAATACCAGTAGATGTAAAATATAAAATAAAGTTGCAGATATGGCAATGAGCGCTGATCAATAGAAATACTCACTTAGGATAATTATTTGTGTATGAAAATTTCACTGAGTTAACAAGAAATCATAATTATGCATACTTACACCTTATATTTAGAAATTTATCCATTTAACATTAGGATATACTTAATTTTTCTTATAATTTTTCCTTCTATATATCACCACTCTTACTATAATCAATAATGTGCTAATAAACCGTTAAAAATATTGTGTTAATATTAGGTTACGCCTCCTTTTATTTTGCATAATGATCACTTTATATACATAGCGCATCAACCTTATCTTATCTACATGAAAAAATAAAATCTCATAAAACTCGATTAAAAAAGTTGACATAAATGCAAAGGATATATATACAGTTATAAGATGTTTCATTGAACTTAGTTCAAAATTTGTAATTCAAGGACCATAATGAACATTAGGGTTGGAGTGGGGGATGACAAAAATGGAAAAAAGGAAAGTAACAAGAATTATCAGAATTGAGAACTTTGGGCCGCATATATCCAAACCTTTTTGTCTTGGGGTCTCTTTGACAGATTGAATGAAAACCAAGAACGATAGCAACATTTCACCATCATAATATTCATGGTTTTACATAATTATTACACAAATTAAATGCATTTTTTTTAAAAAAAAATAGTGGAAGTGTCTTCAAATGGAAACTCTTCTTTACTCTCACTAGTCTCTGTATCTTTTTTAAATTGAGTTGACATTTCATTACTCTTTGTAACCAATTCCCACCGAAGAGTTCCATTTTATTAGCAAAGCTTTCTGAAAATCCGAATTGATATTGACATTAAAAAATTACTGTTTCCTACCAAAGCTTAAAACTTACATTTGGATTTGATGGGTCAATTTTCAGTCGCTCTAATTGGTAATGTATTGATTGTATTCACTTGGAAATATTCCTTCTCAGATGGAATTGATGGCAGTAACTGAGAGATCTCTACCTATTACAAACTTAAGGAAAAATTAAGAAAGCGTCATTTTTACAAAAGCAAGAAGGTAAAATTTTACAGAAGGGTTTTTGTTATGGTTTAGAATTCCCCATTTCCATATTTTCATTGAGCTTGGGTTTTAAAACTTCTCCGGCTTGGTTTAACCATTTTTTATTGTTTAATTTGCAAGTTATTACATAGAAGTATGTAAAAATTTGGGGTAATAGTTCGGATAAAAAGGGCTAATTTCATTTGATAAAATTAATTCGGTTTTTGACGAAACACGTATATAAGAAAGGAAAAAACCACTTTACTTTACGTACCCTAAGAATAGAGGGTCTCCAGATTATGTACGCTAAGAATTGGTCTCACCAAATCATGTACTCTATGTTTGAATTTTGTTGTTTTAAGTACTTCTTTCATGGTAAAATAGGAAACTAACAATATTTTGTCCTAAATTACTAGTTTTTATCCCCGAATTTCTAGAAAAGAGCAAATTACACCATAAATTTTATTAATTTTACCCAAATTTATCTTTCAGCCATATTTCAATTAATTGCGCTTAGATTTTTGGTCAAAAATTTCTCACGACTTCCAGTGTATATTAGTTTGATGTATATATTTGTTTTATTTTTGTGAGTTTTTCTTTATTATAAGTTTAATTTATATTTTTATTTGTCATTTTGCATAATTATTTTGAAAAATCTTTTTTTATTCTTTCTTTTTTTGTACTTTTTGTTTAAATTCTTTGCAATGCAATTCTAGTAAGACATAATTCTCTTATTTTACGTGAATTTTTAGAGTTTATAAGGCGAATTAAAACAAAATCTAAAAAAAAATATGTTCGTAAAAATACATCAAAGTGCAAAGAACTTGAACAAACGTACAAAAAAGGAAGGACTAAAAAAATATTTGTTAAAATAATCATGGGAAACGACAAATGAAAGTATAAATTAAACTTATAATAACAAAAAGTCGCTTTATGAAACAAATATGTACGTAAAAAATAATAAATACTGGAAGTCATGGGAAATTTTTGACCAAAAATTTAGGTGTAATTTGTTGAAATCTGACTGGAAAATAAATTTTAGTAAAATTAATAGAATTTATGGTTTAATTTTGCCCTTTAAAAAGTACCTAAAACAACAAACTTCAAACATAGGGTACATGATTTGGTGTGACTAATTATTAGGTTATATGATCTGAAGACTTACTATTCTTAGGGTACATAAAGTGAAATTTTCTCTATAAGAAAATAAAGAAAATAGTTATTTGTATTACTTACGGAATCAGCATATTACTTTATGTTTTATTAGGCGTCTCAAATCACTCCCTTAACAAATTCCATATGATTTTGCCAAATAAAGGTGTGTTTATTACAAGGTTTGAACCTTAAAAAACGAACCAATACGTCTACTACATGCAACAATAATAGTTTGTTTAGGTAAATTTTAAATATGTTATTACAATTAAAAAAAAATAATGTACCTATGAAGTTCAAAAAAAAAAAAAAAAGGAAACGAAGGGAAAATCCATCCAATTAGCTACCACCACCATCCATTGAATATGTCCGGATCCTTCTTTTGTTAACACGTTTCCTTGCCCCCTCTCTTCTTCTCTTTCCTTATTTCTTCTTGGGAATCTATTTTGTATTTTGTATTTTTTATTTTTATTTGTGTGTATTTTTTTACTATTATGTAATAGAGAGGCTTTGCCCCCAACAGAAAATTTTTTTCTATTCCCTCTTTGGGGGAAATTACTATTACTGTGTTGGGGGGTGGGGCGGCCCTTTATATTTGTTTGTTGTTCCTTCAATTCTCTTTCTTTAGAGGCAAAAACCCACATCAAGCAAAGAGAGAAGAAACTGCGAAAAAAAGATTTTTGAGGATCTGAGAAAGGAGGAGAAGAAGAAGAAGAAGAAGAAGAAGAACCAGAAAAGGAGAAAAACAACAACTCACTTACAGAGGAAAACCCACTTGTGTAGATACATATACATATATACACAGCCACGGGCCACGCCCTCAATCTACAGTTGCACAAAATAATTATTATATTCCGGAGCAAGAGAGGTAGAGAGGAAGAGGAGAGAACAAAGAGAAATACTTTTTAGTTTTTCCCTTTTTTTTTTGTTTGTCTTTTCCTCCTCCTCCTCCTCCCCCCTTTGATCTTCCTTCTCTGTTTTCCCCACAATGTCTACTTGTTTTCGGAATTAACTTCACCAATCTAATCTCTTTAATCTCGAATCCCTTGAATTTTTTCTGGGTTTTCCTTAAAAATTTGTTCTTTTTTTTCCAAATTTTTCTTTCTTGGAAAAAAATAAGGAATGAAAAAATAAAAATAAAAACCTATTTAAAAAAAGTGATTTTTATCCTCTTCAATTGCTCCCCTAAGAATCTTCTACCACTTTGTTTCATCTTGATCTTTTTTATTGATTTTCAAGCGGTTCCCATTACTTTTCCCCCTCGGATTTGTGGTGTAAAACCAGTGTAATTTGTGGGGAGAAATTGCATTTTTGGGTGGGTTTCTTGACTGATCTTTCTAGGGTTTGATCTACTGGAGCAAAGTCCCTAATTGCCCTTTGTGAATAAGCAGGATTGTGATCAGAATAACACCGGATAATGGTTTGAGATCGGTGAGCTTCATCTGGGTAGCTTAGATTGTGGAGTGCTTGAACCCTTGTACTGTTTTCAATTGGGCAGTTCGAACAAGGAGCAAGTTGTGGGATTCTGCAGCTCTATCCTTAGCCTCTGGTCTGGCCACTAATAAAGCTTGAAAGGAGTTCAGGAGAACTTGGTTTGATTGGGTATTGGGACTTGGTTATATGCATGGTGCTGAGACCTAACTAATTTTGCTCAGATTGAGGTTGCAGTCTTCACTAGCTGCTTTGTTTCTATTGTGATCTTTCTGTTGGTCCAGCAAAGAGGCTCTGATTTTGATTTGGGATATTGGGCAGGTGGTAGTTCTTTAGTGGGAAAGGATCAGGTTCCTGTGGACATCTGGATTCTTCAAAATAAAGTTCAGGTTGAGACTATTTGGTTAGTGGAATAGTTGTGCACTTTCCAAAAGAGTAGCTCTGTTTTCCCGGCATTTTCCACCCTAGTTTGCTTGGTTTGCCAGCAGAGAACGGATCCACTCCATTGGTTTTGGTATTTAGTTCGATCACCTTGAAGAAGGCGATGGACTAATGTCCAATCTGGGATTGCGCGCTGGGAATTTGTGCATGGATAAACGATTTTTTCATGATTTTTTCCCTTACTGGAATAAGAGGAGCAGAAGCAGAAACTAAGGGAAGCTTTGTCTCTGGTGGAGAGTTTCCACTGTATAATTCTCTTGATCACGTGCAATGTCTCGCTGCTTTCCATTTCCACCTCCAGGATATGAAAAGAAGGCTAGACCTGATCAAGATGCAAACTTGTCAATAAAGGTTTTGCTCTCTGATGTAACTTTATGACCTATGACAAATTCTCTTGCTGGTGATTCTCTTGTTTAGCACCTCTGCATTTGCTTTAAGGTTGCAGCATTTAGGCATGATGTTTAAGGCCTAACATGATTGGAAGAATTTGTGAGATGGGGATAAGAAAAGGAAGGACCGCTTGTTGATTAAATGTAGGCAACATTTAATGGGTGTGACTGACTTAGTAATAACAATTTTAACATGCGTCCTGTGAGGATTATCGTTGGTTGCTAGAGAAGAATTATTGGAACAATTCATGATGAGTACGTCTTAGATAACAGTTGTTAATAGTCTGCATTCAGCCATCAGTTTACATTATGTGGAAGTATTGTTTTAGTCGATCACATTTCAATAAGTTAAAAACTTCTTTTACATGTCTCCTTTTCAAATCAAAGTGTATTTGTGTTCAAATTTTTTTTAGTTGTTCTGACCAATAGTAAACCTTCTGTTTCTTTGGTGATGTGTATGACTGATTTAATCTTGGTGCTCTACTCAGAAATAAAATGCCAGTGAAATTTTTATTGGGACATTTGTGATGGTGTATATTATTTGTGATGGTGTACATTTGTGACATTTGTGATGGTGCTCTACTCAGAAATAAAATGCCACTGATTTGGTTGTATATTAATTCTTCTTGTCCTGTTCTGATGGTGTGCAAAGTTGTCGCATCTGGTGACTTATGTACAAATGTATCCGTTTGGCTAAGTGGTGTGATATTCTTTCATCGTGATTGATAAAGTGAACTTTGGGTGAAACAATATGTCTGAATTATTGTGTATGTTATTTGCAATGTGTAGCTTTGGAAGTTTAGAGGTATTATAAAGTTTCATAGGATACGATTTCATCTAGATTACCCATCGTAGTTGGTCTTGATATATCAGTCCTCAACAGGGGTTACTGAGAGAATTAACACTTTGTTCTTAAACATATGCTATAGTCGGTTTATACCTTTTTTCGTTGTTAACTTGTACAAACGCTTCTGAATTCCTTGTCAGATCCATCAAAATTGAGTTCCTTCTGCTTAATTGAGTTGGTGTACATTCATTTCTGTAGTTTGCTCAACCTGACTCGAATTTATTTAAAAAATATATCTCTCTAGATTAGTTGCCAACCCTTTACTTTAGAGTAATTAAGATAAAGATGGAAACGGCTGTAACTAAGATGGGAACGAGATAATTGCTAAAGGTTATTGGTGATATTAGTTGTTTCGCTATTTATGGAATGAGAACTTGACCTTATCAAGATTAGTAGTTTGGAAGGTGAATGTGCTATCAGTATTGCAGTTAACTCATGGTAACTTATGTGGTTCAAAAAATGATTGATGCTTTTAGTCTTTTCAGGTCCATTACTTCATAGTTGGCGTAATCCATAGTTCTTGTAGATAGGGTATTTGGCTGGAAAAGAAAGTTAGTTGTGGTGTCCGTGTAATGACCCTTTAAATTCTGGTATTCTTGAGTATTAAATCTATTTGAATGCTGAAGTTAAGGACTGCAATTTAGGGGCACATTTTTCTGAAAGTTTGAGATTATAATCTTCTGATGCGCCTAGTTTTGCTAAGTTTCTGACCCCTATCGTTCTGCAATAGGATGGTTAGTATATGTCTGCTTATGTGTTGGTGTAGTAGACTGTTAAGAAGTTATTATAGAAAGCCTTTATATCTCATTATGGGAGATTAGTCAAACTTTAATAAGGTACATATTGAATTTTTAGCTATATTGCTCGAACCGAAATACATCCATTCTGGTGGTTGATACATCAAAATCTTGAAAATAATTTTTATTCCAGGGAGTACTCATTTTATGATTTGATAGTTGTTAAGTAGATTGCACTGGTTCAAGAGCAGATTAGCCTTAAAAATCATGGTAAGTTGGGGAGCAAAATATTTTCAGTAGAATTAAGTTTGGTCTTGAAATTGTAGCTTGAACCAGTACCAGGTGGAGACTTGTGAATGGACTTATAGGAGTCATAAACTCTGGTGTATTGAGTTATCGTAGGGTATGGATAGAAGTTTGCTGGTGTATGATATTTAACTGCCCTAGAGCATCCACATGAAATTTGTTAGGCAAATTGGAGTGGGACATTGAACCTCGTGGTAACTCTTTATCTGTTCTATCAATTGTTGTCTATGATAAGCACGTCTTCAAAAGATCCTTAACCATTACATTGTAGAGCATGCTTTTATGAGAAAATCTGTTTTGGGACTGTATTCTAGCTATTATTAAGGTTCGAGTTGCAAAATTTGTTTTTAGTGGCTGAGATGTGACATATTCGTTCTTTTTGGTGGCTTTTCAGTGGTGATAGATAATTATTTATGTTTCGTTCTTTTTGCTGTGTACTCTGCTATAACTATGTTATTAGTTAAATTAAATTTAGTTGGAGATGGGTTTAGCAGCTTTCAATATCTGCTTTGGGTTCCTTATTATTGCCTTTTGAATTTGACCTTTCCTGTGGCTTCTAGATGTTAATTATTTGTGTACATTCTTTGATATGACTTCTGTGTCTAGGTCTATCTTGGTAGACAAATGTTGTAGCAATTGTTTTTTTGTCTTTCTCTTCTCAAACATTAAATGGGTGTGTTTTTGTGTCTCCAGGAAGATCAGAAAGACAAAAAGCAGAAGAAAGATAAGAAGGACAAAGAAAAGAAAGAGAAAAGAGAGAAGGAAAAAGAAAAAAGCAGTGAAAAAGAAAGGGAAAAGAAAGAGAAGAAGCATAAGCACAAAGATAAGAAGGAAAAGAAAAGGGATAAAGAAGGAAAAAAATCATCTGAGGAGAGGAAAATCGTAGGCCTCTTAGATCATCAAAAAAGTGAACAAGTTGGTCAAGCAGGCGTACAGGTTGGTGAGACACATAACTCTAGACCTTCGGTTGATTTTGGGAAGAAAGTTAGGAATGAAAATGGAGTCAAGGAAACACAGATCATTGAAAGGATTCGGGTTCCAGATCTCGCTATGCAGTCATCAGGTAAGGCAACAGAGCTCAGTAACAACATTCTGGCCGAGAAGATTCAGAAATTTAAGGACAAGAAGGAAGAAAATAGGATACCTAATGGACATCATGTCAGTGCAGTTGGGTTGGCCAATGGTTTTGTTTCCCATTTTCCTCCCAAAGAGCAAAAGAGTGTTGACGGAGGTGGTCTTCAAGAAGTTAAGTTTATGGAGAAGCAGAAGGAGCATAAAGATACTAATAAGCAAAGGAATAATGATGGAAAGGGGGACAAACCCAAGGATGGAGATAGAGAAAAGAAAAGTAAATCGAAGGATAAAAAGAGGAAAAGGGAGAAGGAGAAAGAGAAGGAGAAGGAGAAGGAGAAGAAGGTGAATGAGTTATCTACCTCAACTCCAAGTAAAGTAAGAGATGGTGGGAATAATGCTGTAGATTGTAGCAATGATAAAGGGCTTATTGTGTCTAAGGAGAGTAGTTCAAGTCGTGGAATTCTTGACAAAAGAAAGGAGCCCGAAAAGGATGGAGTTTTAAATGGTGAGTTTCTTTTCTTTTTTTTTTAAGGTATTCCGCTCTTGTTTGTAAATACAGACTGCTCATGCTGTGGCTGCTTGTTTTACATGGTTTTTTGATACGTTATTCTTAAAGAGTTGCGGCAGAAACATATTATTGTTACTTCAGTCTCTGTATATTGCATGCGCAGACACTTTCAAGTGTACATGTTGTCAATATAGGATCTCATTTGGCTGTTTAACCTACTAGTAGCTGCTTGTTACTAGTTGTCAGCCATGACTATAAGTTTTCATGTATATGCTCCTTAAAATCTTATGTGTTACTTTGACATTTGAGCAGGCAATGAGGTTAAGAGTAATAAATTATTAAGGCCTACATCTGGCTCTCATCAAGTGCTTCCAACTGGAAATAGTACGGATGCTTCAAATGTCGGCATCCAGTTTCCTCTGGAGGAGGGTACGGGGCTAAGACATAAGTCGAAGTCCAAGAGCTCATCCTCCAGCCCAGTTGTTCAAAATGGAACGAAACTGGAGATGAGACAAAGTGCGAATAACATTATGACTGAAAAGCAGGAGCTGGTTAATAACCAGAGTAAAGCTACTAGCAAGCCCTTTACTCCCGTGAAGCCTGCATTTGGAAATGGTAGGAATTTGGAGCCATGTGAAACTGTAAGGAGTTCTGCTGCCAGTATGGAGCCAGGGGTGGTTGCTAATCCTGCACTGGACAAAAAGGCTGTACCTTTGCATCCTGTTGAAAATGGGAGGAAATTACAATCCAGCCCAGCCAACCACCTATCTGCTGTAGACAGGCAGGGGATGGTCGCCAAACTTAAGTTTGGTGATAGAGAATCAAAGATAAATGGCGTGTTGGCCCCAAAATTGGATGAGAAAGCATTGAAGATAAATGGTGTGGTGGAGCTCAAGAAGCAAAGTGCTGGAGCTAAACTTTCAGAGAAGCCAACTACTTCTGGACAACAGAAGGACATTTCTGAAATGCCCGTGAAGCCTCCTCATCCTGATGTCAAATATCTAGATAATATACTTTCTATTCCTAAAGTTGAATGGTCTGACGTGGATGATCAGACATGGCTTTTTAGTCACGAAAATCAACTGGAAACGAAACCGAGAAAGGTTTCCATGATGACTGAGGAGCCAAAGCAGGTATGGGCAGAGGCGATGCACATAGAGTCTGCAGATGTGACTGCGTTACCTTATGTGATTCCATATTAGTTGGCCGAGGAAGTTAACTGTCTTATCCACTTCAGCACCAAGTACAGCCTCATTATGGTACCCTCCTGTTCTCATCTGTGTCTTCCACTATAATTGTGGAACCAAGGATTGGTGCCTAATTTTGTTCAGGTAGGGTCTTCAAAATCGTCCCTAAGGATCGACTTCCTTGTTATGCTTCCTTGAGGAGCACATTATAGTTCTTAGGGTGAAAGGCTCGAGAGCACGAAAGAAGGTGATGAACGAGCTTTGTAGGAACTTTGAATGACCCAATGGAAGCAGGACGACCTGGTTGGCGCCACTCGATCAAAGAGTTCGAATATGTAAATAGCACTGTCATACTTCATTTGTGTTCGATCTCTACTGCTAGCTCCTGTTGCGGGGGAACTATTATTGTTACCATTGGACCATGATGTCTTAGCCCAGAGTTAAAAAGGATGAAATGATGAGAGAGAGCCAATGCTGTAGATTGCAGAGAGCTTCAGAAACAGGGAGAATGAGAGTAGTTGTGGTCTTCAGTTGAAACCGCAATGCAATTTTGATTTATGTAATATATTACACTGAACACACGTGAAATTATGACAAATAGTGGAAAATAGAAGAGGGAAATAGTTTTCCATTCTTTTCTTGACGGGTAGCTTTTCATCATATTTTTGTGAGCAACTCATTATTCTTCTTCCTTCAACTGAAAATGCCCTTATGGAGAAAATATGATATACAATAGCTGTACTCACCTTTTTAGTGTAACCGATCAATAGGGATTAATCTTAATTTTTTTTTTGTGTCCCATAAATGTCTCCCTCTCTCCCGTAAAAATACATTGCGCAAAGATTTACTCGCACTTATGACCCATGTTCTTAAATAGTCATCCTATCAGAGAAAAGTAATTTAATTTGGAAAAACAAAAATTTATAAATTACATGGTTTTATCTTTCAAACTAAAAACCTGGGTCTATCAAAGTTTGCACCTATCTAATAATCTTACATTTACCATTCTATTCTTATCTATCTATATATTAAAGGAGAGTTGATCATTGAACACGTATCGCTCAATTAGGCTTTAATAGGTTCCGTTGATATATGTCGTTTTATATTTGGCTCATCATTAAACCATTAAAATTTTATATAAAATAGTTAATTCGTTTCACCTTTACTAACTAATCCATTTACTTCGTGTAGTTTTTACTTTAACCAACTCAATTTTAAATTTAAAACTATCATTAATTATGAAAATTCAGATAATATAGTTTCTAACAAAAAAGTAGCAATCTCTCAATTAGAGCTAATTTATATCTTCTCAAATACGCTTTCTCCTCTACTAAACCAGGCTCTCAATTAAAGCTAATTTATATCTTCTTTAATATACTTCGCCTCTACTAAACTCTAATTAGATGCTGCCATATCTCTATAAATACATATAATTCCTCCACAACGAACACCATCCAAATCAGTTAAAAAAAAATCTTTTAGTTTATAGCTAGTCGCCATGTCCACCGGTTGTGGCTGGAAAATTCGTAACTTTTTATTTTTTGAGAACGAGTTAGACGGAGAGCAAATTTTTTTTAATTAAAATTAATTTCGATTTTACTTTTATTTTGGCAGAGCAAACTTTTGTTGGATTGGAGCTGGTTGACGGAGAATTCTGTCATGTTCAAGGTAATTTTAGCATTGATTAATTTTTTAATTTATTGTTATGTCAAAATCAGTTTTGAAACACGGGGAGGTCTGAGTTTATGCTTATAAAATATAGCAATTTGTGTTTGATGCTAACTATGTACCCCAAGTACATATGATCGGTTCCTCAAGTCAATGGAGTTCTAAGATCATATTTACCCAAACTCCAATATAAATTGGTATTCATGAACAATATTATTTTACTTCTTTGTAAATTTGAGATTTTTATTCCTTTTGTTTTATAGAGTTTCGATCTTTTTAACTAGGACAAATTTACAAATTCTGTCGAATCGGATGCACTAATGTTGAATAATATTTCGATAGGCAAATCGGCGCAAAGCTACATATTTATGTATTTTAAGAAAATCGATGATTTGAAAGCCGCCTAAAAAAAGTTTTGCAAATGGTTTGTGTTCTTTTGAGTCGAACCTGCTTTGGCGTTGTTTTTATATAATTACTACTAATATAAATTTGTTTAATTTCTCAAAAAAAAAACTATTACAATAGATCGACTAACATTTTATTAACGTTGTGGTTTATGATTTTTAGTTTAGCTCTTGCATATATGGGTTTGGTTCGAACCGTCTTGGACAATCATGAGAGCAGAGCAAGTTACTCAAAAAATTTCTCATGGACATACATGATTGTTACTTTAGTTTTTCCTTAATACAGTTGTTGTCGGTATTCTAAATTTAGAACCGAAAATGTCACTACTCCAATTTTTCTTTTGGATTTCCTTGTTGTTTCTCTTCTCAGAGACATGTATCAAGTTTAAACAAGGAGATTGATTTCTTCTGAGACATGTATCTAAGTTATAAATTTTGTAATGGGTTTTTCTTTTGTACATTTGATTTCTTTATTTATATGCTTTGAATATGTAAATTATTTTAGTTTATATTAAAGAAATATGAAAATAAATTAAATGGTCACTATAATATGAAAGCCCTTATTCTGCCTTTTTTGTCAACTTCTACTTCTAACTCATTTGTTTGAAATCCGGTTATACACCATTGCTCCCAAATTATCAAAACTCAAAAGAAAAATGGCAAGCTCATTATAATCGTTTCTCGATATTTTATAGTTTTTGTTATTCCTTTGGCACCCCGGGACTGATTTGTACACTATTTCTAAAATAAACAATGAGATAGAATTTGTTCTCTAATATAAACACCTTTATATGGCAAAGGTTTTCTACGGCATAAACCTATACCAATTTCCATAGCATTTACCAAGAGTAATTACAACTTGGCCCCAATAGTTTATCCAATTACTAAGTTAGGGTGTTAGTAAAATTTTAAAAAAGAAAATTAATAATTGAATACGAAAATATAATAAATTTTATGTGGTGGTTTCATATAAAGAGATTTGATTTTGATTACCGTAATGACATTTATATATAATTGTTGATGATTTCATACATGATTAATTATATGTGTGAATGATTTCATATGAAATACTTTCCTTAATAAATTTATTTTGTTTGCAGAATGTGGCTTAATTAATTGAGATTACATAAATTAACGATTTCATGTAGGTCCCACAAATTTTTTCCGAAAGAATTGGCCCAAATATGAATAATTACGTTATAATATATAGCTACGATTAATCTGCGTTAATGTAATTGTTTCGGGCATCAAGTTTCATTAATAGTGGCTTATTACAGAGAAATTTTGTTACTTTTGTAACAAGAAAAAAAATGACAAAAAATAAAGAATTGACAAAAAATAATGAAAAGGATTTTGAAATTAATCGTGAAATTAATGAATGATTTGATAAAATGAATCATTCATGAATAATCAACTCATTGTAGCAATTAGACATGTTAATTTGCAGTAAAAATTTATATAAAGTTGGAAGTTACGAAACCATTAATATTAAATTGGATCTATATATTAAAGGATGAATTTGAATGGGACGATTTGGAAAGGTCCAACTAAAATAATAATTTTTTACACAAAACAAAATATATGATTTTTATGGCTATATAAATACGTGTATGATTTTTTTTTAATTGCTCAATAAAATTTCAAAAACATGATCAGTTGGAAAGGATTTATTACAAGGCGAAAAATGTCCTACACTATAATCCTACACCACTTTCTACATCATTTACCAAGATTTTGACACCGAGCCCAACGGGTTCATCCAAGAGTGGGTTAGGGTGTTAGTAAAAATTTTAAAGAAGGAAAGAGATAATTAAATAAAAAATGTAAAAATATTATATGGTGGATTAGGAAGTGTTGTAAGAAATTCTTAGTCTTTTTATAAGATGAATGGGAATGAGATCATTTGGAAAGGTCAAATTAAAAATAAATAATTTTAACACAAATATAAAATTTTTATTCTCCGTGACATATAAAATGCATGTATGATTTGCTTCAATTATTAGATGCTTAATTCTACTTCAATATAAAGAGTTATTTGTGGATGATCTATTACAAGATGAATTGGAATGGAATGATTTGGAAAGTTATAACTAAAAATATAATTTTTAAGAAAAATATAAAATATATGATTTTTACGACTATATAAAATGCGTGTAAAAATTTGTTTTAATTACTCAATAATATTTCAAAAAGCAAGATCGGTTGGGAAGAGTTAATTAAAACGCAAAAAATCTTACACTATAATCCTACACAGCTTCCTACATCGTTCACTAAGGGCTTGTTTGCCAACATTTTACTTTAGTTTTTGAATTGGGTTTGAGATCTGATTTAAAATTTGGATTAAGATAAAATTTAAAAAGTTGTTTGGGTAATATTTTAAATAAATTAATAGTATTTTTAGACCACCACTGAACCACCTCCACCACCGGTGCCGCCGCCGGCCAAATTGGCCGAAATCTGGCCGCCAGCGGTGGTTGGCGGTCCGGTGGCGGCGGGTGGTGGTTGAGGTAGTCCGGTGATGGCAGATGAAAATTGTGTAAAAATAATTTTTGGAATATTTTTTAAAAGGTAAATTAAAAAGTTGTTTGGATAGTATTGGGATTTGTGTTTGAGAGATGCTTTAAGAGGTACATTGATAAAAATACAAAATGAAAGTTGATCAAACAAGCCCTAAGATTTCGACATCAGGCCTGACGGGTTCATCTCAGGGTGGATTATGTTAGTAAAATTTTTAAAGAAGGAAAGGGATAATTAGTAGAAAACTGTAAAAATATTATATGATTGATTAGGAAATTTTGTAGGAAATCCTTAGTATTTTTATAAGATAAATGGGAATGAGATCATTTGGAAAGGTTTAATTAAAAATAAATAATTTTAACACAAATATAAAATTTATTATTTTCCATGACATATAAAATACATGTATAATTTGTTTCAGTTACTAGATGCTTAGTTCTACTTCAATAAAAAGAGTTATTTGTGGAGGATCTATTACAAGATGAATTCGAACGGGATGATTTGAAAAGTTCTAACTAAAAAAAACCCCGTCTCAAAAAAATAGTCTACATTGAGTTTTTAAATTTGTACTAAAAACAGTACAAAACTCAAAACTCAATGTGGACTATTTTTTTTGAGACGGAGGGAGTAATTTTTAACACAAATACAAAATATATGATTTTTAATTGAGATTACATTTTTTTTTTTTTTGAAAAAGAGAACTTCCATTAAACTTGCTGGAATTCAGCCAGCTCTGTTTGATACAAGAAACTCGGTAATGAAGACCAAGTTTTAACTGAGGATACAAAGGACTTAGAATGGGTTGCTATAGCATGTGCAATCCCATTTTGTGATCGAGGAATCCAATACAAATTTACAAAGGAAAGGTCTAAAAGTGGAGTCCTAATATCGTGAAGGATTGGAACACTTTGATAGGCACAATCTCCTTCTCCTACAGCAGCCAGAATTGCAGTAGAAGAATCTCTGAGGACTGTAATATTGCTAAGATTGAGTTCCCTCAGCAAAAGGAGAGCTTCTTTTAATGCTAGAAATTCCGCTAATTCTGCTGAGTTAATATCAATGGCACACCGCCCTTTTGCACTTATAAATTGTCCTGAAACATCCTTCACATATATTCCTAATCCCACACTGCTCCATCAAAATAGACACAATTTTGCAAATTTTGCGGGCAAATTAGATGGCACGATCGAAGAGATGAAGAAACAACTAGGGAAAAGCCATTAGCTAAGCGAAATTCTCGCAGTAAATTAGCTGCCTATGTAGTTAATTGAGATTACATAAGTTAGTGGTTTGCAGGAGAGTAAATTTTTTTTACTTTATTGTAGTTATTTGAAGGAAAGATTATGTATTGATGATAACTATGAAAATAATATATGTTATTATATAATAAATAAAAGAGAGTTGGTCATTAAATACTCAATTAGCCTTTCAATAATTTCAATTGACATGTGTGACATGTGTTATTTCATTATTGGTTCATTATTAAATTATTAAAATTTTATGTAAAATAGATAATTCGTTTTACTTTTAACTAATTACGGTCTTGAATGAGCACCTACTTAGGCCTAAAAAAAGTTTATTCATGAATGTAAATAATAATATTTTGTTCATGAATATATTTTTTGTTAAATTTATAGCACCAGCAACACGGGACCAAATACTAATAAATATAAAATATCAATCATTATTTTGCTAATCAGTTTTTTTTTTTTCCTTCTTCTGCCCCCTGCCATTTTACCCACATCCTTGGCCATAATTCAGGAACGAGGATCAATTTTGTGAAATGTCTGAAATTCCAAATCATAAAATGACAATTTGTAAGTTTGTAAGTTATAACACCTATCATTTTTACTGTTCGATTTGGACTAGGAAAAAACAAGGAAAATTCAGCTGCATTGTGCCACGTCCAAAAAGCAACGTGGCAGGGAGAAGGCTTTCTTGCCGCTACAGCCTACGTCAGCTGCTTACTTGTTGATATGTATTATATATGTACCCACTCTATTTTGAAATATATATCGTTTTAGAATTTGATAAATTTTTTTAAATATATGTTCACAAATCGAGACATATTTAACTATTTTTTAGTAATATTATCTTTACATTGGAAATAAAATAATATTTATAATGAATTTTTATTAATTTGTGATAAATTGTATAGATAATAGATAAGGATATTTTTGTATTTTAATTATAAATTAATATTTTCTTAATTTTGATGATTTCTCATTTTCTCAAAAAAAAAACATATAAAAAGAAATAGAGTGAGTACTAAATAAATTGTTAAAAACTAAAAAATGCTTGCATAATCTCCTGAGTCTTAAACTCTTAATCCGTACGCTTGAACCGAACAGAGCAAATCATGGGCGGTGATACAATTCCCGTCTCTCATAGTTCTTCCGCCGGTGATCGATTATTTCTGTCTTTTTTCCTTTTCTGTTTTTGACATTTTTCCAATTGGTTTTATATGTCTAGGTGGAATTTGGGTATAAAAATGGCTGATTGTGGACTTAATACTCTAAAATTAATGTGAATTTGCAGAAGACCTGCCACCACTGGAAAAGGATTTTCACCCACAATCTCTTGATTCATACTCTACTCTGAGGTGCTTGCTTTTGAATTTTACTTTTATTTTTCTGCAAACGGTTTTTGTGAACACCAGTTGACTTGGGACTTTGAATTCAGTGACGATACTCTGATTACCAAAGCTGATAAGGGATCACTTGATGGAGGGCTTGGCTTGGTTCCCGGGGAATTCCAGGACATGGGTCTTAAAAATTCTTCGAGTTCTGTTGTTTTGGAGGCCAACAGGAGGCGGAAAGAAGGCATTTATATGGAGGTGTGGCAGAGTTATGAGGAGTTACAATGTCGGAGGGGGAGTTTGGAGGACATGAAGATGAAAATTTTGAGGTAATATGAGCATTTCTTCTTCCCATTGGTTGTGGAATGGGATCAGTCTTAATTCCTGAGCTGGGTTTTGTTATATCATTCTAATTCATAAGCATCTGTGATTGTTGACCGCGGCTTGGAAGCGATAACAGATAGCATGCAGCTCATATTCTCGCTGGCTTTAGAGGGCTACTAGTGCCACTCACATATCTGCTGGCAGATTAGGCTTCCCCAGCCTTAACGAATATCCGTGATTGATTGAATCGTGGGACTTGAAGTTTTGAGCATTTCTTTTATTGTTTCCCTGCTTTATGTGCTCTCTTTGGTCCATTATTAGTTGTGGCAACCAATGAATAAGCTGAAGATTTTACTCACAGAATGACTATCGCTTGTTAACCGTTGTTCAAGTAGCTCGTTTTAGTTGAGATTGGAAATTCCCTCGTTCTAGTGACATAATTTCTTTTTCCTCAGTTATACACCGGGTTCATGGATGGAAAAGATTGCTGGTGTCAAACTGGATGATTTTCGTGTGCCAGAGATAACATCGCTCTTGTTGATTGGCCCAAAGGGGTCTGGGAAAAGCAGTCTCATTAATAAAGTTTCCAGGATGTTTGAGAACAATAAATTTCAACCTGAAAGAGCCCAAGTATCATGTAATTTACATCCAACTTCTCTCTGACTCCTGGTACGTTGTTTTCAACTGTCTAAAGTTACAATGTTTCAATGGTGTTTTGTCTTGGCAGATAATCCTTCTGGAGGAGAGGGAACCTATTTCCTTCAGGAGTATGCAATACCCAGAGGTTCCACTTCTTTCTGTTTGTATGATACTCGTAGTCTGCCTGATGATGTAACTGAAAGCACAAAGATGTTCAAGCGATGGATGACTGAAGGTGTACGGAATGGCGAACTGGTTAAAAGGTCTATGAATTATTTTGTAATTGAATTTATGATGTGCTTAATTAACATATGTATATATAAAAAAATATTCTGCCTGTGTAATCTTTCAGGGGTTCAGACTGTTCAACTTTAAAAACTACAATGAAATATAAAGCTCGCCATTACAGTAACCTTTCTGGTAAGGTTAGGATGGTTAACTATGTCATTATGGTTGTTAATGGGCTTTCAGTATTGGAATCAATGGACAGTGCTGATGAACGAAAGAAACTGTATACTCAAATGATTGCTGCACAGTTCAACAGTCCCTTTTTGTCGTTTAGAGGTGCTTGTCAGACTTTCTGAAGTTCTCCTTTGTTTTTTTTCTTTTTTTCTTTTTTTTTTACCTTAGCGTGACATATATTATTGCTCTATAAGGCTCTTTGGCGTTGAACCTTCCTAATTGAGTTCTAAATGTTTATGCTCTTTCTTTCAACTGCATATCTGCTTTATATCTGAAATTAATGGATCTACATGGAGATATGTTGTGAGTGAACGTCCTTACTGAGATTACCTTAATATTTACTTTTCTATGAATGGTTCTCAACAAGTCAGATGCCATTACACCTGTTGTTTCTAATGCTAAAAGTCTGCCCGTCTGTTATAATTCCTTCTCCTGTGTAAACTTAAGTTCTTAAAGAAGACATGGGCATTTTGGTATTCCCCATTCTGAATCCAGTGATGTTATTCTCTTGTTTACCTGATTCGAATGATGTGTTTCCTTCCATTTGGATTCCAGTTTTTAATGTAACTGTTAGAGGGTTTTACCTTGTTCTTAAAACAACAGTTTTGGAAAAGAACAAATTGTATATCATTTTCTTTGTATCCCATTTAAAAGGTTTTAAAGACTTGAAGGTCTTCCTTTTCTTCCGGACTCCTTAGTGGTTTGCTTTCCTGTTTACAGATGACAAGCCAGTTGTTGTTGTTACACATGGAGATTTACTTGAACTTTCTGATCGCGTCAGGGTACGTGTTTGTCTGGGAGAGCTATTGGGTATTCCGCCAACAACGCAGATTTTTGACATTGCTGGTATATGCCAAAAAACCTTTCCTGATTTACTTTTATCAATGCATTATTTACCACGAATGAAATACATAGTTCTTGTTGAATGCTTGTGTTTGCAGGCAGCAATGAGTCAGAAAATGAGTTGTCGATAGCTGATCTTCTTTGCTATTGCCTTGATCGTGCTGATAAAAATACTCCTCTTAAAAGCCGGCGTCTGAGTAAGGCATGTCTTATTCAAGGTTATGTATTTAGGATTTATCTTCCATGATTGCATCCTTTTTAAGATTAGCTAAGAAATGAACGATATACAGATAGCTGCAAAATCACTGCCTTCGTATTTGTGGCTGATTCTGTTGGTGTTTGAAATTGGATTCCTGTTGGCTCAGCTGCATGCTGGATACACCAGTCGTGACCCTAGTAGTGCTGTTCCATCACATACTGCCTTCGTAGCTGATGCCCCGGAAGGAGGGATGGATGCTCCAATCGATTGGCAAGCAATTCGTCATTTATGGCTAGGGACAGATTAAGATTTGTATATGGCTACTAGAAAGCATGCTTGTACATAATTGACATTATCACATCTCGGATTCTTCTGCAGAAGTATCAATGTTAAGTTCTCATGGACTTGATGATCCTAGTTTGTTGCGATGAATGAAGCTATCCTGGTTCTTCTTGTTTCCCAAAAATCAGTGGCGCAAAGCGTGAAAAATCTAAAGAGAAAACAGAGTCGATTAAGAACTAACTTGAACTAAGAGATACACAGTCTGTTACTCTGTATGTGGGATGTGGGATGCATATAAAATGCCGCAGTAAATAAACCTATGTATTTCCTTGTTAAGTAGCGAAGAAAAGAAAAAACCTGTCGTATTCTATTTGATTGAACTGTAAAACAGGCACTAACATGTGGGCAATAAGGCCATAATTCTGTCACAGAGGAAGGGGGAAAAGTGGGAAACAGGCCTTCTGAGTAAGGTATTCTCCACCAAAATTTCTTCTTTTGGTTACAACAATTTGGCTAAAAAGTTAATAGAAATACAATGGCTGCATGCTCCTCCACTGAAGCTTTGTTGCATCATCTGGACAGGAAGTGGTCCGCAGAAAACCTCAACCAAGAGATTCAAGACCAATACAAACTCTTGATTCTTGCAGAAAAGAATGATTTTGCTACTCTAATTCTCACAGCAAACGAAAATCAAAGACCTCAACACTCAAAGGTAGGCCTCAACAATCAAAGGGTATAGTAAAGGAACAAAAGAGACCTCCATGTGGAGCGCCTTGGTTGGGGCTGTTGCGAACAAAGACTAATTTCGGGTTTTCGGTTATCAAGGTGCAGACTGAAGGAAGTCAGGAATACTTTGCAAAAATTTTGCCCTCACACTAGGATCGGTTGAAAACCGGCCTAACGCAGCAGTAGTAGCAGTATTACTGCCGAACTTCTCAATTCCTCTCGAGATCATGCAACTATGGTTAGCTTCCACCACTACCATCACATCTTCACCCAAAATGGTTGAGACGGTTTCAGCAATTTGCTTTGTGAGCCTCTCTTGTACTTGGAGCTTGAAACCATAGAAGTGTATGATGGTTTGTAACAACGATCTTCCAACAGGAATTACACCTTCAGCGGAATAATACCCTATATGAACAACACCATGGAAAGGGAGCAGATGGTGTTCACACTGGGACCAGAATGGAACATTAAGCTCCAAAGACAAATGTCGTTCACTAAGCTTGACATCACCATTAAGATTCAAGCAATCTCTCTGGTTTTGAATGATCCCACTCAGCTTCATCTCTAAACTAGAAATTCTGAAGTTCATCAACCATGTCACAAATCGAGCAGGGGTTCCTACAAGCTCTTTTCTCGACGGATCTTCCCCAAGAGACTGAAGAATTGAGGATACAGCTTCTGTCATTGCAGAATTGGTTGGGGTTTTTGTTAAAGAATGGGATGGGCACCAAGATTGCTGCTCAACAATGCCATTCAAAGGCCTATCTGTTACGCCTCGGAACTTTAAAAGACTCAGAAAGTCAGCCCAAATATCTGCCTTCTCATCCTCAAAAACACCTGAACCTGAGCTTACGAGCAACTTTATCCATCCCTGGTGATTTGAATCTGGAATGGCAGACTCAATATTAGGATAACCAATATGTGAACACTGAAGTATGACAGCCACCCCAGCTGGTTTCATGCTATGTTGCAAAGCTTTACAGAGTTCATTAGCTAGGCGTTGTGGATCTTGAAGTCGCTTTGCAAAAACATCAGCAACCCGAGAAAACTTGCTAAGACCTAAAATCCTTTTTCCAGATGGGACATATCCTACATGACACTTGACCTGGAACGGGAGCAAGCAAGACTCACAGTATGAGAATAGATCCAAATCTCGAACTATTACAAGTTCACCAGTCCCCCCAACTTCCGGGAATAATGCACCGTGGACAATGTCCTTGGCCTTCTCTCTGTAGCCTAGAAAAAGTGGAAAAAGGTTCCATTAGTATCCCCCATTTATCCAGTCCAAATTCACAGCAGAAATTAGAAAGTTGCATATCCCAGATGAATTCAGCACGAATCATTTTTCTACATCCTTCTACATACAAACAAATTGAACTCCTAACAAATGCCAATCTACTCAATCTGTCAAAAGCAATGCAATACGGAAAATATTTGCAATAACCATATGCTAATGCTCTAAAAGACCTACTTCTTGACTCAAGAAATGCTCAAACTCATTCCAACACCATCACTCAGACAACTAAAAAAATGCTCGGTTCACCAAGTACAGCAGGAAATGAAATAATGTGTACATATAATATTGTACAGTTTCCAGTATGAACTTGTGCAGTTTTAAATCAATCACCCCAAAAACACCCAAATACTGATAAAGTCCAACAATCCGATGCCAACCAACAAAACGAAATCATTTTCTGGCACGTCACATTGCTGCGAGGTGCAAAAACCTTCTATACAAGGAAGACCATATAAGCTATAACTACACCTCACATCACTGTAAGCATAGTTAAAGATATAAATCTCAAATTGGCGTTTCGTTGTTTGCAATCCAGCATGCATGTATCACGTGTATGCACTTAAATGCGCTGATTCCCTTTAGAAGTGAGCACAGAAAGGCCAGGTATAAAGAGAAAAAAAGTAAAAAATCTACTACTGTATATAAATCAACCAAAACAGGGGACTAAAAGGAAAAATCACCTCTGGTCCCTTCACGAAGGGCCTTAGCCACACGGTGAGGCGTCTTGCGAATGCCTTCCCGATTGATATCCTCGCCCAAACCCTGCAACAGAACTCTCACTGCATCCTCAATGGCAGGATACTCTGGTTCTCCCTCTGAACCCAGCTCAACGCAGTCTCCAAGGCACACTCCATTCTCTAACTCCTCATTAAAATGCCCCTCATCTAAAGCTCCCATTGAGGTACACCAGGAATCCAATCCACTCAAAACCACCCGAAACACAAAACAGGGACTCCCAATCGAATCTCCAAACTTTTTGGCCAAATGAACCAGACCCGGATATAATTCAGCCTAAAGATTCAAACTTTCGGCAAGGAATCGGAAAACCCAGATCACGTCAAATCAAAAAAAAGCAAATTAGAGAGAAAAAACGAAAAAGCGTGGCAAAAGTTTAAAAGGGGTGGCGTTTGGGGAAAATTCAAAGGGAGCAACAGAAAAGAGAAGGATGGACAAACAGAAGAAAGGAGTGTAGGGCTGTTATAAAGAGGGTTGGGATGAGAGATGGGTGCATACAAATCTTCGCAAGCAGCAGTATAATGATATAAATTAAAGAAAAAAAAATAAATAAAACGTAGGGTTGCCGTTAAGCGTGGAAACCCGAAGGCAAATTGCACTGTACAATATTGATGAATATTCCTCCTATTATTATTGTTTCTTTATTCTCTCCTTCCTTACTAAATATTGCGTCTTTCTTCCATCAGAAAATGCTAAATCTTGCGGTTTTTCGGTCATATGGGGTCGGTGGGGAACCTTAAAGGAGGAGTCAACTGGCGCTTTTTCTACAGTTAATATATCTGGCGCGGCTCTGCGAATATCATTGGGGACGTTTTCGTGGGAGTCTTGCACCATTCAATTCGGACCCACACGAATACATTTTCCTATTTGTGGTTGGGCTGAAATTTGTCACCAACCCAAACATATTTTCTTCTTTTCTTTTTTCCATATGCTTTACATTATTGTCATTTTTTTTTTTTGAACTCGGATTATTGTCATATTGGAGACATTCAAGGATCTCAGATCATTGAAAATTGTCAATTGCAGCATTTCTAACAGGATTGTCAATGGTAGGATTGAAATCGAACCACACGGAGTTGTTAACTTAAGGCGTCGTCCGAGGGCAAGCAGCCTAGTTAAGTGAACATATACTCTTCAAAATATCCGAAATTAAAACAAGAGACGCACACATAGAGTTTCTCGGTAAATCGGGAATTACTTGTACGTAAATCATTAAAAACATAGTAGTAATATTCTTTAAAAGTGTCCACTAAACCGGATTTTCTTTGGGAAAAAAAAAACAAAAACAAATAGACAGTTGTCATTTGTTTCAGATGGGTACCATGTGCTGCATGGATTGAGATACCTCGTCTGTCTGTCGGGAAGAAGAAACTGCAAAGAAAAAATAAAATAAAATTGAGTCTAATAGTAATAAATATCCGATATTACCACGAGGGCGCACTAATTTACAGATTCAACAAACAGGTAGACTCTACCAACCCACAGATTCATGGAATGATAACAAAGGGGTATAAGGGGGAAAAAGAAACGGTCAAAATCAGATAAAAGCATAAACTCAACAGATTCGAAAAGTCGATACCACCAACCAACGCACGACGGATAAAAGAGGTCAAAATTGGGACTTTCACTAATCGTGGTGGCCTCACTCCTCATTGGCTCTTCTTCCTCTCCCAAGATCTGGTCGGATCTATTTCTTCCGTACCCAAAAAAAAAATTAATAATAAAATAATTCATATTATAAAATTTATGAATTTATTATTTTTTATAATTATAATATAATTTATTTTGATCGGATAGATAGAATAATTTTAAATTTTTTGAGCTAAGTTTTATTTATTAAAAACAACAAATACTTATGATCCATCTAATGAAATTATTCATATATCATCATTGTCAAATGTCAATGGTGGACATTTTACAAATATGAACCAACAAAAGAGAAAGGAAGATTATTATTTATAAGATGCAGATTAAAATTGAATTTAATGTATTGTTTACAAACAAATAAAATACGAGAGACGCTATCATCATTTACTAAATCATGTGATTCATTAGTATGTAAAAGTCAATAACTTTCCTAACAATTTTCCCTCTCCATACTCTTTTGCATTATCCAACATTTCTTCGTTTTCACGGACAATCTTCTAAAATCAGCCATCGATTTTATGTATTATGGCATCGCAATCTCACTGTTAACCATGCCAGAGTCAAGTATGGCTACAGGAAATAATCATGTAATTTCCCCAAATTTCAATGAATATCTCATGTCCAGAATCCGTTCATGGATCAAACTTTTGCGCTGGAATCCCTTACAAAATACTCTCCCAATTCAAATCTGTTATATATTAATTGCAAGATTAAAATCTATAAATGGTTCTCTACATTAAGCTCAATACATATTTTGATCCTTTACATTAATATTTAAATATAAATGGTTCTTTATATTTCATAATGTAACTTTCTTTTTTTTTTTTGTCATTTGATACTATTTACGCACTTTTCAGAATGGTTATTTAAATTCTTTTCGAAGAATTTACGCACTTTTCTTTTCGAAGAATCTACTATATGAATGTAAATCTAGGTTCTTACAATTTCTTAAGTTAAAATTTGATTAAAGAATGACTCGCCCATTTTCCCCTCTTGAGCTTGTAACTCTGTTCAAATCCTTTTTATTTATTTAATTTTTTTTTTTTGGGTACAGCGTTCAATTCATGTTGACAAAAAAGGGATGAAATTTGCTCCATGACTGGTCAAACTGCGATTTGGAAAACATCTTAACCATTCTCAAGCAGGTCGTGCTATTGAGCGCTCTAATTTTTTCATTTGAACGCCTTAAAAAAGACGTACACGCCTCTGCAAAATAGAATTACATTGGTTTTTTTGAAAAAAAAAAAAAGGTAAGGCGAGGAAGGAAGAAGCCACCCTTTAAGGGGTGGCGTGAAATAATCTCGCTTCGCCGCATGGTGAAGGTGGCGCACTTCTGGGCGCCACATTTGTGTTGCTCGCCAACTAAAGGGTGGGTGGCGCCATTTTGTGCGCCACCCACCTTAATTACTTTTTTTTTTAATTTTTAAATTTTATTTTATTTTTTAATTTATTATTTAATTAGTTTTAATTTAATTATTTTGTCATGTATTTAATTAATTTCTTTTATTTATTTTAATTATTATTTTAATGAATTTATTTAATTCATGTATTTATTTAATTTATTTAATTCATGTTTTTATTTAATTTATTTATTTATTAAAGTTTATTTTTTTATTTATTTGTTTGGTGGTTAAACAAATAATTTTAACTTAAATATTTGGGGAATGTTGCTTAATTACGTAGTAAATTTTTATAAAATTTATCATTTAGTTATGTAAAATTTTTTAAACATAGACAAAAAATTATCATTTAATAAAAACTAAAACTTATGAATTTACTACCAAACAAATTAATTATTTATCATCGATGCATCTAGCCGTTCTGGAAATATTTTTTTGGAAAAAAATATAAAATATAAAATACGTTGTTAAAAAGCATGGAAAAAATATAAAATAATTTTATTTATTTATTTAATTTTTTAATATTTTTGCTTTTTTTTAAAAAAAAGAGGATTAATAGTGGTTCCCCATTTATCCCCTATGTGACTCAAATCCGTGACCTATTGGTCAAACGTGAGATGTCTTACCTCTAGACCACACCTCATTGTCATTTAATTTATACTATTACAAAGTCAAATATTTAATTTAAAATTATTTGTTCAACCGCCAAATAGATAAATAAAAAATAAACTTAAATAAATAAATGAATTAAATAAATTAAATTAATTAATTAGAAAATAGAAAAAATCAAAAAAATATTTTTAAAAAAGTAATTTCGGTTTTGGCGAGCAAAACGCTTGCCAAACAGAGGGGGGTGGCGCCAGATTTGTGCGCCACCCCCATTTTGGACAGCAAAATTTTTCTCGCCTCCCTTAATTAGGAGGCGAGAAAATTGGCGCCACCTATTAAAGGGTGGCGCCTTTCTCCTTCATGGCTAGCGCAAATGTTCTTCGTCACAGTCTTTTTTTTTTAAAAAAAAAAATAATAATAAGGATAAAATGATCAAAATATAATTTTTTAGGGCGCTCAAATGAAAAAATTAGGACACTCAACAGTTTCCCAGTTCTCGAGCTTCAACTTTTCTAAAGCAATAATCGTGCATGCAACTGGCCAAACAAGTTTCCACGTGGGATGCAGTTGTTATGCTGGGCACCCGGTGCTACCTGGGTGGGTGCGCTTGCTTTTTAAATTTTTTTTAATTTATTATTTTTATTATTTTTAAATTCTAACTTAAACACTAATAACTAGACCTTAACTTAATTAAAATATTTAAATCTACTTAATCTTAAACACTAAACACATTATGTTTTTTATTCGGTTTAAACTTTTTTAATTCAATTAGGTTAAACGAGACCCTAGACTAATTGAATTAAAAAAATTTATAAATTATTCATCACACATTAAATCCTAACTTATTAATCGCATGTCTAAAAGTGGTTGAAATTACATTCAAAAAATATTTTATAAGATTAAAAAAATTAAAATACAAAAATAATTTTTTTTCCAAAAAAAAGAGAGCACTGAGCAGATGCGTTCAGTGCGCGCCTGCCAACCCGGTGCTACCTGCTCAATATAATTTGCCATGTACGATGTACCTACAATAATATAACCTAACGAAATAAGCTGACATACGACGAAGTTATCATGAATTTGTTTAATTATAGTTGAGTACGTATATTGGTTAATTAATTAATACTATATCTGTCCAAAAAAAAATACTATTCCCTCCGATTCTTAGTATAAGGCATTTGATTTTGTCATAAGTTATATTTTTTAAGGTTTTTTCGTCAATTAATAATATGTGCTTAGTGAAACATAGAACAAATCAAAATGCCTTATATTAAGGACCGGAGGGGAGTACTTCACATTAAATTTTAAAATTTATATCAACTCACCAACATGTTTTCATATATCGTACTTAGCTACGAATTGAGCCGGCCGTCAAGCTCTCGCCCAAGACGCATTACTTTCATTTCCTGTCAAGTATAAATTCTAAAAGAACTGAATAAATCTTATTTAACAATATTACTTCCAAATGCTAATTCTGAACATTAACTTAACATCCTCACTAAAACC